TCTGCCGCGAATTTTGTTCATTGGATTAATCGATTGAATTGGATCGGTTACTGATTTAATTGAGGTACTATATTTAAGCGTTATTAATTTAGTTGTAGAGGTGATTTGTTGATTAATTTTTGGAATTATTGCGTTACTACATAATAAGATTTTTATTTAGATATTTGTGGTACCAATTAACATAGATTCGGAATAGGTAATTCATAGAAAATTATAAATTAAGCAAAATCGATGTGGAAATCATTCAGAAATCATTCATAGTAAGGTCTTTCTTGCGCTCTTTTATGGTTATTTGAAATACTATTCGCATATTTTTACATCTTCTGGTTATTTTCTTGGTTTTGGTCGAAACTCGCTCTGGTTCGAGGATTAATAAAAAAAATTGCGAAACGCGCCGCGTTCGTTTCGATGTAATTAAATTAGCTCTTTTGTAATAATCGCTAATAAATTCACGTAAAAAATGGGAATAATAACAAATTATTACGTGAAAGGAAATTAGAGGAAATTGAGAAAGATTTCGCAACGAAATACGCCATCGAATGGGGGGTTTTTTACCGATTTACCAACTTTATTTTATTATTTTATACAGCCGACGTGTTAAAAACAAACAGAATTTATCGAAAATGCACCTCGTAAGCGAAAATAAAACGTTATAACGAGCTCGCCGTCTAATTGATAACGAAAATAAAAGTGATGTTTAATCGACGACCAGTTTTCGGATTCTCGAACCACCAATTTTCGCGGCTTTTTGTTTAACACGTCGACCGCCGCGCTGATGAATGCACCAACGGTGCAATTGATAAGTGTTACAAGTTCAACGTTACAAGTGTTACACATTCGTAGAAAGTGAAATGATCGACCGGAGCTTTCCAAATGACATAATTCTTTCGATCGGCGCTTTTAGCATTGTTGGCTGGAAAAAATCGAGCCGGGGAATTGTTAGATAATTTCGTGTATTTGTATTATTCTCGGTTTGTTTTTTTTATGTAATTTCATTAACGCGCCCATTTTGAGTATGGCAATTTGCTCGTAGATATTTACCAAACAGCGGATTTTGTTTGTTTTATATTCGATCGTTATTTGATGATATTCGCAACATTACGTGGAATAGTGGATAATTGGTTTCTGTGCAACTGGGACAAGGATTTTCGAGCTCCATGTACGGCTGACTTAGTGATGGTCTTCATTAATATACAAAGTGGATTCGTTGACTAAACATGGTAGGAAAAAGTCGCGATAAATTAGAGGGTTTAAAACTATTTTTTTTTACTGTTTAACTAGAGAGAAACGAGCTCTATTAGGATCTAGATTATTGGGAGAAATAACGATTTTATTAATATTTTAGTATAGCGGAAGAATAAATGAATAAAAAATTCCATGTAAATATTCTTGTTATTAATTTTAGTATCTAATTATTTCCATGAATTAGGATAATTAATTTTTAATTTTTTTTCCGATTTAACGAGAAGCAATTATAAAAGTAGAGTACTTATCGAGTTTCTCACCAAATTCCATAAACATTTTCATTTACATTATATCTTTACTCAAATAATTATTTACTCCATTCTTTTTAATTCAGCTTTACAAATTCGCAAAACAAACTAACCTATCCGAGCGTTACCTGTCGCTTATGCATCGAATTAAAACCTCCAATTAGAGTAAATTGCATTATGCACCAATGTGCAATTCATATCAAACGCATTACTCAACATTCGCAAGTTGAACTTTGTATTTTCGATCGACTGCTTTTATATATGCACGAGTCCTTGCTTTTCTTCGTTGTAAGAAACAATCGGAATTAATAAATTAAATAAATAAATTAATAAATTAATCCCATTGTTCCCCTTTTCGGCGCCGCCGCTGCTCAACAACCATCTCGATCGCCCGGTAAATATCGAATTTATGCTCATTTTAATTGGCAAACAAAACTGAGGACATCAACTGTAATTTGCAATATTTATTTAGTTTCCCGACGGCTCGCTTTGACGAGGTGTTATTTCGATTCTTCCAGCTTCGAGCGAAATGTGTTTTCGATTCGTGTTCAAACAAATCATTCTAGGAGGGTAGTAAGTACATTCAAAATTCTAAAAAATGCATTCACCACCTTTGTAATTACCGAACAAATAAATCGCGTTACTTTTCTCAGTGTAATATACGATAGTAATGGAGCGAGCGGCGTTGCCGATGCTCGCGAGATGTGGCAGGTTTGAGGAATTGTTTGTATCGCGTGGAAAAATCGGTAATGTGGAACAGAAAGTGCGATTAGGCTGGAATTTTCGACGAAATTCATGTCGATTGCGAGTATTCTGCGTGTGTACGGGATTACGTGCAGCCTTGTTGCGTTAAGAAATATTTTTTTGTCAAGGTTAGAAGAAGTTTTAGGTTGCTTAAAAAGAACCGAATTGGGAAATGTGTGTAGACGTCATTATTAATTATGTACTGTTTTTTTTTATTTCTCGATGAGCGTCGTTAACGAGCAGGTAGGAATGTATTTTTATTTTCTACATCGAATCGGCTTCGATTAATAATTACAAAACGCTAATAATTTTTTTATTTAAACGCGGGATCAAAATTCATATTTTTTACGACAATCAATTAACCGGCTGCGTAAATGTCGAGAAAAATCCATTAAATTATAATTTATTTAAATTACCTGTGCTTCATGTAAATTTTCTAAAGGCTCAATCGAGATGATGATGATGATGATAATAAAATTTTTACCATCTTATCTCTAACGCTTCATTAACTAACTCTAATTAATTAATGCAGTTTTAATTAAATTAGTTTTTGAATAATATTGTTTTGTCTACAAAATCTAATTTAGTTTTCGTTTTGCTATAACCAAAATTGTAATTTATTTATTTTGTTAGACGTGTTGTTAAAAATATTAAATGATAAATTATGTGCAGAATATTATAACTTCCCTGTTTTTTTTCAAGTTATGTAAATTAGGAATAATTATCAAATTGGTTAATTTAACTAACTAATAGGCGAAATATTTACGTTAATTGAAGCTTTTTTAATATAATAAGATATTTTTAGTATTTCGATTTAACCTCTCTAGTCTAGTCTCTACTACATAATTTATCGATTAGTTTATGTGGTGTTTAAAAAAGGATAAATTCTCCGTTTAGTTCTAAACTTTTTTTTCACCTTCAAGCAACAAAACACAACGACACAACGATTCCAAAGTTTAGATCCAACATTAAAAAAAATTACTATTAGCTAAAAAACAATTACAATCAAATAGCCTATCATTAATACACACAATCTAATGATAACTGTCAAGCGTAACAAGCTACATCAATTACATTTTCTTGTAAATTTTTTAATTAGTTATATTCTATTTGTTTTTATTTTTTAAATTTTCCTACCCGACTCGATTTAATCGCCACGATTCGTCCACACCGTACAGTTACCGATGTCGTGAATTTCAGCGCTAAATTTACGCGATTATCCATGATAAATTGGAACAGTTTGGTGAACGTGGTGCTCAGGTTGTTAGGATTTTACAATAATATACAGGGAATGTAAGTAAATTTACATAAACGTGAAAAAACCTAACCAGTTTCAAGCTGATACAACTGAATCATCAACAAGAGCATTCGATTGTAGCAGTTCTAATGCTTTGAATTATTGTTAATGTATTCACTAAGAAGCTACTCTAAAGCTTTTTTTTTATTCAAGTATAAGCACTACTAATACGATCTGTACTCTGTGCTATTTTGTCTAGTGTATAATTGGTTTCTTCTACTTCATTTATAACGGTATCTTCATCAGTATCTACAACATTACATTAGTTTCCAACGCCTCATGTTAATCAAATTAATTAACTCAAACCGGCGATTGGAGAACAAGGATAAGCCGACGACGAATTTATTCGTCCGACGTTCAACCTTGGCTCGTTTCAAAGAGACGTTTTATTGTTCAACAAAAACGAAAGTTGCAAAATATGCACCTGTCATTAAACGCCGTGACTCACCTCCTTCGCCAGATGCGCCATTTTTCGTTTCGACAAACACTTGACTAACCCAGCTATTTTGTTTTGCCCATTCACCACCAGTGACTGGATGTCCGCAACAAAGGGTACCATCCACAAAGGGTACTACAATTTATACAACATCAATACAATATACATCATTGAAGAATTCCTTAGATCACGTACACTGTGCTCCATTTCCGATTGTGAGAACAAAGAAAGATTATTAAAATGACAGGTGTCAAAGTGAAAAGTTGCAATGACGCAAATGTCACTCTTTGTCCTTTATAAGTGTCTAATTGAAGTTGTCTTTATCGCACCCATTGCCTATATAACCTATGTGGAGCAACCTGTATATGATCTAAGAAGAATTCCTAGGTTCATATTTCTCTCAACAATCAATTCTTCTTTCAACAATCAATACAATTCATACATTGAGGAATTCCTAGGTTCATATTTCTCACAAAAAAATACCGCGCGACGTTGCCACATCGTGTACAATATCGCGGATCTGCTGATTGATTTTTTTTTTCGGTTTGTTCTAGTGAAAGCAACGCGATGGGGGAAAGGGTGGAGGCCTCGGGGCCGGGGCCCGATTTGGTCGGGGTGAACGTGGAGAGGCCGCCCCTGATCCACCAGCAATCGACGGTGTGGAATCGCAGGCAGCAGGCGGTGAGCGTGAGGCACGCCTGCAAGCAGTACGGCTCGAAGAAGAAGCCCAATTTGGTGCTGAGCGATCTGAACATGACCGTTGGAAAAGGGACGATGTAAGTGGAATTTGATATGCGAAATTGGTTCTTGTGTAAAGCGCATTACTTCATTTCGGATTGCAACATGGTCATTTCAATGAGTGGAACAAAGAAAGATTATTAAAATGACAGCTGTCAGTCAGAGTGAAATGTTGCAATCACACAAATCAGTCACTCTTTCTTTTTTCCTTTGTAAGTGTCTAATGTAAGAAGGTGTGATCTTTTATTCAACGGTTGAACAACCAATGTCATGAAACTATTCATTTATTCAGCGATTTTTTTAACTTTTGTCATCTGTCAACGATCTTTTTCACATCGATGAAACAGCGATTAGTCATCTGATTAATCGGATTTTGAAGAGGATGGATCTGGTTGACAGATGAATTATAACCCATATTTTTCATTCCATGATCGGTTTCGGTTACGATCTGATGTTCCATGGTGAAGTTGCGCTCCTTTTCTATTCGATGTAGATAGTAAAGGAGCGGGAGTTGTGATGATGACAAATATTGTTTCGAAGCAGTTTTGTTACAAGATTCGATGCGATCGACGATAATATAATAATTTCGCGTGCGATAAAAGCGGTAATTAGCTAATGATACAAACCGCCTAATATTACAGGTTGGATAAAAATTTTTTCATTTACCTATTAAAAAAATTCGTTCCGATCATTAGCCGCGTTCGTGTAGTTTGAAATCGTAAACACCGGTTATTGGCAAGTAAATTTTCGTAAATTGCCGGTAATGGCCCGTCAAATTGGCGGGTGTTTTGTTCAATTTTTTCGTCATACCATCGACATTTTTCCATCTTTGTAGCGTAATTGCAAGAATCTCGTTATTTGCGCGATTTGCATGAAGCGTATTATTATTTTTTTTATTTAGTTACGTAAAGAAAATTGATCGAAGAATTCGCTTTTTTTTTCAGATACGGTTTATTAGGTGCATCTGGTTGCGGGAAAACCACTTTGCTCTCCTGCATCGTGGGCAGGAGGAGATTGAACACCGGGGAGATTTGGGTGTTGGGCGGAAGACCCGGTAAGTGTATTATCAAAGATTATATACAGGGTGTTGATTAATAAGTGTGAGAAACTTTAGGGGGTGATTCTTCATGAAGGAATAAAGATATTTTGCTCTATAAACATTTTTCTGGAAATGCTTCGTTTTAGAGATACGGGGTAGTAAAGTTTCTTCACTACTAGTTTTGAGGAAATGAAAAATGCATGTCGAGATGTTTTATTTTTTTACTCGAAAACGGCGACCTGTGCGAAAAAAACACAAGGGAGTTTTTTTGTCACAAATTGAATGAGGAATTGACTCATAATAGAATTGACTCACCCCCTAAAGTTTCTCGCACTTATTAATCAACACCTTGTATATAATTCTCTGGCATTATCACCAAATTATCAATAAATAATTTGTAAATATATAGGTTCGAAAGGATCCGGGGTGCCCGGCAAAAGGGTGGGTTACATGCCGCAGGAGATAGCCCTCTACGGGGAATTCACCATCAAAGAGACCATGATGTACTTCGGGTGGATCTTCGGTATGGAGTCCAGAGAGATTAACGAAAGACTGCAGTTTTTACTTAACTTTTTGGATTTACCTAGTCAAAATCGTATGGTTAAGAATCTTAGGTAAGACTTCGCGTCAATCGATATACAAAATGGCCGTTTTTGCTTGGAATGGTAAGATCGAACGATTCAAAATGGCCGTTTTTGTTATGAATCGTAATATCGAACTGGCTTCAAAATGGCTTGTTGCACATGTAACAATAAATTATGCAATTCGTTCGATTGATAATTACGAACAAATAGAACGTGCTTCGTTCTAATTAAGTTAAAATAAAAAAATCCGATCGTATAGCCTTGACAATGCGCACGTAATCGCCGTCATTCTTATTCAAATCGGATAAAATTGGAAAGAAATAAAAAATCGTAGCGCAATTAATATGCATTAATTTTTCTAATTTGCCATTTATCCAATCGATTTTTTTCCAGTGGTGGTCAACAACGAAGGGTCTCGTTCGCTGTAGCTCTGATGCACGATCCGGAACTTTTAATTTTAGACGAACCGACGGTGGGCGTCGATCCTTTACTTAGACAAAGCATATGGAATCATCTAGTACAAATTACCAAAGACGGTAATAAAACGGTGATCATTACGACGCATTACATCGAAGAAGCCAGACAAGCGCATACGGTAATACTACTAAAAGTTTTCCTCAATTTTGAATTCTGGGGATTTTTTTTTTGTCAAAATTGAGTATAGTATCCATCACCAATACCAATACCAATACCATCAGGCTCCTCTCGTTGAAGGCGACTCACCCTGTATATTCACAGACTTTTGTACATGGGAAAGAGTCTATTGTTCAAACCAAACATTTTTATACTCCTAAATTTGGAATTCTGGAGATTTTTTGTCTAAATTGAGTTCAGTACCATCACCAATACCAATACCATCAGGTTTCTCTCGTTTAAGGTGACTCACGCTGTATATTCACAAATTTTTGTACTCGATTGTTCCAACAAAACATTTTTTAATCCCTTCGACAATTTAATCGCAAATTATCGACCTGTTATGTTCGAAAATTTACAATCCCCGCAAAAAAAGTAATTAAACCGAGAAAAAAAAAACTAATTCGAAATTTCGCTTGTTTCGCGGAGGTTTCTTTTGTCTCGAAACGACCACGATTGTCCATTAAATCGAGCATTTAATTACTCATCAAGAGGAAGCCAACCGTATTTTCCGAAATAAATAAATAAATAAATTACCCGTGTAGCGTAAATTAAAGCTTTTAATTAACAAACACGTGCAAGGAGACCTGCTAAATGACCGAACGAACGTTAAACTCGCAACCTCTAACAATAGAAAAAATACCAGCAAATACTCCATTCAATTATATTGTTATTGGTTTTGGAGTAGTTTTTTAGATATAATAGGTTTAATAGTTTCATCTTACGATGCATTAATATCAATCGAACCACCAATTTTCCTAATTGCTTCATCCAACTTTCTTCTGGTGCAGATCGGCCTGATGAGAAACGGCAAGCTGCTGGCCGAAGAATCACCGCAGGCGCTGCTCACGATGTACCAATGCACCTCGCTCGAGGACGTCTTCCTGAAGCTGTCCAGGAAGCAGGTCCAAGTCGGCGCCAACAACGATCAAAATCTCACCAACAACATCAGCCTGGCCTCGTTGAACTGGTCCAAAAAGGACCTCGTCTCCGTCACCGAAGAGAGCGGCGTCGTCGGCTTGAATTTCCACCAAAGCAAAGAGGTCCTCGTCAGCGACAGCAACGGACACTTAGACGTGAGTTAACCCGATAATTATGTAGTTAAATAAATACATTGGTGGTTGTATAGATGAATAGAACGGCATCGACGAGCAACGGTATCAAAGAGGCCTGCGACGATTGCACCAATTGCTCGGAATTCACCACCACCGGCAAACTCCGCGCTCTACTCCAAAAGAACTTCCTCAGAATGTGGCGAAACGTCGGCGTCATGTTGTTCATCTTCGCGCTGCCCGTCATGCAGGTGATACTCTTCTGTTTGGCCATCGGCGGCGATCCCAAAGGACTCAAACTGGCCATCGTCAATCACGAAAAGAACTACACCAATCTCACCTACCAGGTAATAAACCTTCATTGCATCGCCCTGAGTTACTGGACGTTTCGTTTTCGATGGTAGAGCTGCGATTGGAAGCCGGGTTGTTCGTTCGAGAACTTGAGCTGTCGATATCTGGACGCTGTGAATACATCTACGATCGTGAAAGAGTACTATCGCACGCCGGACGAGGCCAGGGACGCGGTGCGCATGGGCGAGGCCTGGGGCGCTCTGTACTTCACCGAGAACTTCACCGACGCCTTGGTGGCCAGAATGGCGCTGGGGAAGGACGCCGACGAGGAGACGCTCGACCAGAGCGAGGTGCGCGTTTGGCTGGACATGTCCAGTAAGTACCTCGCTTTATAAAAATGAATTGTGTAATTGCATAAATGTTCGTTGTAGATCAACAAATCGGTATAATACTCCAGAGGGACTTGCAACTGGCGTTTCAGAATTTCACGAAAGATATATTTAGGGCGTGCGAGTACAACGAGGAACTGGCCGAAATACCGATATCCTTTAAGAAACCTATTTACGGTTCTAATCAACCATCTTTCACCGATTTCGTAGCACCTGGTGTCATTCTAACGTTAGTATTACAATCGTTAATACATTCTCTAGTAGTGTTAATCGTTATGTTTACAGCATCGTCTTCTTCTTGGCTGTTGCGTTGACATCTTCTGCATTGATCATCGAACGCATGGAAGGATTGTTGGACAGATCATGGGTTGCTGGTAAGTTCCTTTCAACCTCTACACTTACATACATCTACATTATTATCTGTTTGAAGGTGTAACCCCGGGGGAGATCCTGTTCTCGCACGTGGTGACCCAATTCGTGGTGATGTGCGGCCAGACGACGCTGGTGCTGATCTTCATGATACTGGTGTTCAAAGTCGAGTGCAAAGGGGACATCTTCCTGGTGATCGTGATCACGATCTTGCAGGGGCTGTGCGGCATGTGCTTCGGCTTCGTCATATCGGCGATCTGCGAGCTGGAGAGGAACGCCATCCAATTGGCCTTGGGCAGCTTCTATCCGACGTTGCTGTTGAGCGGCGTGATTTGGCCGATAGAGGGCATGCCGACGATATTGAGGTACATATCGACGTTCTTGCCGTTGACGCTGGCGACGACGTCGCTGCGATCGATGATGACGAGAGGATGGGGCATCGGCGAGCCGGATGTGTTTTATGGTTATATAGCCACTGTTATTTGGATTGTGCTGTTTCTGACGATCAGTTTGGTGGTGTTGAAGATGAAGAGGGGTTGATGGTTGACGGGGAATTTGAGACCCCCCGTTTTGACGATCGGCGGTGTTTATTTTGTAGGCGAATTTTGTTTGTTTGGGAAATTTCGTGTTAGGAACAAGTTGTAAGAATCCGGTTTGTTTTTTCTTATTTTTTTTTATCCGTTTCGAGTCTTTTATTTATGTTTAGATGTTTTTTACTTGCCCCCCCCCCCCCCATCCCGCTCCCATTCACTTATTCCTGTCCTTTAAAAATACTGTAAGAATTTTTTTTTGTTAGTTTTAGTATTAAATTAATTTGATATTTTTACTTATTGCGCATACGAGACTAATTTTTGTTAACAACGAATTGTATCGATTAAGCTGACGAGTCGATTATGTGCAAATAGTTTATAAAAATGTGCTCAATTTAATTTTTTTTTCATATTGTTATAGTGGTATTGTGATGTATGTTTTGTTATATGTATAGTAGGTGTATCGATAATAAAATCTTTTAAATATAATATTTTTTAATTTTAATTTCCTACTAATACTTTTTGAGATAGTACAGTCATAGTATCAAGGTCTTTTTCACCTATAAATAAATAGATATTAACTGTAAGTTAATACAATGTAACATTATACAAACATATTCAATTTCTTAATAACCCACTACTTATAATTCAATTAAAAAAAAATTACACCACGAATTAAAACGTAAATTGCACCAATAAAAATACATTTGATGACGTAACATCAAACTTATAATGAATACACTATACTTATAAATAATCTATCAACATTTCCGTTTGTTTAAAGTTTCTTGTAATCTGTGAATCACTCTGCGGTCGAAAGGTCGACTGTACTTATCGTTGCTACTTAATCCGTACGATTATTATCTGATTAATTATATAATAATCGAGCGTTGTTTGGAGTTAGATGCACTCGGGACAATGGCGGAGAAATACGTTTTTACTTTGGGACCGGAGGTGGAGAAATACGCGGAGGAAAATCTGAACGAGACAGAAGAATCGAGAGAGAGATGTTTGGAGGAGATGAAGCGTTGGTTGAACGAGGACGGGGCGATTTTGAACGCTCGAATCGAGGATAGGTGAGTTAAAAATTAATTGGCTAATTAGCATTAATTTAAATAACTAAATTTCGAACAAATTTTTCGTGTAAATTATTAAACTGGTGTTTTGTTTGTAGCGCTATTGTGTAGTTTTTTTTTGTTTATAAAATATTTAAACAATGGAAAAAATATGTGCGTTTGATTAAAATGAATCAAATCTAATCGATTTGTATTAAATCAAAATCTCTATGCGTGCGGTTAACATTTTTTATTATCTAATAGGCAATATTGTTTATCATTTTAAAAATAACGAATGCAAATTTATTATCATTCGAAATGGATTTTGAGTATCATTCCAACACGCGTAGTGTAAAAATATAATATATTCAATAGACGAATATACCCTTCAAACATTATCGATCAATCAGAGAGTAGAATATACTAATTTATCTACGACATCTGATAATTCAAACTAATTTACCTTGGAATATTAATTTTTGTATAGTATCTACAAGTACTTGTTTAATTTCATACCTCATGACGGTCTTTACAAATGTTTGATTCCCACAGGACCGAATTCAAAATGAACCTAGTAAATTTGTTATGTTTATGTTGGTACCCAAAAAATAAGTTACTAGAATACTGTCATTAATGTCAAGTCAACGTCAACTTGATCATTCTGCTTTTAAATCTCGAAAGAAATAACGTGTTTTGTTTATTTTTCCTCGTTTTTCCTGTGCTTTTCCCGAAGAAAACTGTGTATATCAACATTAATGATAGATAAAAATAATGAACAACCTAGTGGATTAATGTTCTTAGCCCACTGTGTTGGTTTGTATTGAAAATAGGGATATTTTTTGAATATAACAACAACTGTGCATTTTTGGTTGCATAAATTTTTAGGTCACTTGGGAATAAACAGTTAGAAATGATTCTGGATCGTTCTAAATGAGTACGAAGCGTTCCAAACGGTTCTAGAGTGTTCCAAATGTTTCTGGAGCTTTCTAAATGGTTCCAAACAGTTCCAAATGATTCTGGAACGTTCTAAACAGTTCCAAATGATTCTGGATCGTTCTAAATGACTATGAAGCTTTCTAAATGGTTCCAAACAGTTTCACATGGTTCTGGAACGTTCTAAACAGTTCCAAATGATTCTGGAACGTTCTAAACAGTTCCAAATGATTCTGGAACGTTCTAAACAGTTCCAAATGATTCTGGATCGTTCTAAACGACTACGAAGCTTTCTAAATGATTATATATAGTTCCAGGATTAATTATAAACGTCCCAAAGAGGAACCAAGGAAACCGATCGTAGCTCCCTCTCCGCGTACCAAACCGAAAACTTTTACTCACCATTCAGCCAACTCAATCGGAACCTCCTCTTCCAGGTACATCCTGCCGTTCCTGCGCAGCGCCAAATTCGACCCGGACCTCGCCAAAACCAAGCTGACGAACTACTACAACCTGCGCCGCGACGACCCCAAGTGGTTCGTCGACCGCGACCCCGCAGCGCCCTCCATCCAGCAGCTGGTGAAGCTCGGCGTGTTCGTCCCCCTGCGGAAGCTGCACCGGAACCAGCTGGTGGTGCTCATCAGAACGGCCGCCCACGATCCGAGTAGGCACAGCCAGGAGGATGTTTTTAAGCTCGATCATATGTTGCTCGATGTGGCTGGGCTCTTCGAGTTCGAGGCCGCCCAAATCTACGGGGTGGTCTCCGTGTTTGATATGCAAGGGGTGAGTTTGGGGCACGCGAGGGCTCTGACGCCGGGGATCGTGAAGAGGGCGGTGGCGGCGTGGGAGAACTACCACGTGGAGTCGAAGAGCTTCGAGTTTATCAGGTCCCCGACTTACCTGAACGTTATACTGAAGATATTTAAAAGTTTCATGAAGGAGGAGATGAAGAGGAGTATTAGAGTGCACTCCAAGGGATTGGAGGGGTTGCACCAGGTGGTTGATAAAGCGCTGTTGCCGGAAGAGTATGGTGGTACTGATGGTACGCTCGATGAGTTGATTGGGTTTTGGAACGAGAAGTTGTTGAGTAGAAGGGATTGGTTTTTGGAGGATGAGAAATTTAGATCTAATAAAGCGTAGTGCAAAAAAATAATTCTAGTTTGTATCTTACCTAACTTTTATCTTCGATTATGTTCGATATCTATGGAACTCTTCCACCGAGTAGCTTCTTTTGAATAATATTTTTCGGTTATTTTGTCTATCGAACATCCTCTTTTGTACTAATTGCGCTTTTTCGGCGATTAATTAATTTTTACAACCGCATCGGTTGTAAAAATTAATACGAACAAAACAAAACAAATTTTCGTGTTATCCATCGTAAACAGTTTTACGATTCTTGGGAATCTTCGATTGTGTTTTTTCGAAAAAAATTTGGAGCACCCAAACCGAAATTATTGACTAACCGACCTCGGAAAAAACGTTTTCGTTTATATAAAAGCAGCCGAGTCCATCCTGCTGGGCAGTAACCATTCGAAAGAGCTCCTGCAATCGATCACCATGAGCACCGGCAGCGATTCAATCGTGATAGCAGGAATTTCCGGGCGATTTCCCCGTTGCAGGAACGTCGAGGAATTCAAAGAGGCCCTACTCAACGGCGAGAATTTGGTCACCGAAAACCACGAGAGGTATCCCAAAGGTAAACAATCTCACAATTTCTAACAACAAAAAAAAATGTGAAAAATTCGCCGGTAGGCTACAGAAACTTACCGGAAAAAACCGGAATCATACACGACATGGACAAATTCGACGCCTCCTTCTTCGGCATGACCTCCAAGGAGGTAAAATTCACCAACCCCCGCCACAGGATCCTCCTAGAAACCGCCTTCGAGTCGATTCTCGACGCAGGATTCAACCCGGAAGAGCTCAAAGGAACCAGAACCGGTAACTAACTTCCTGCTAATCCCTCAAATCCTTCTAAATTCAATTCCTCCCAGGAGTCTACGTCGCTACCCCGATGAGCCGCAACCTCCCCGAAAGGGAAGACAGAGAAGACAGCTATGGCTTCTCCTACTTAGGCCAAAGCGCTTTCCAAGCAGCCAACAGGATATCCTACAACTTCGATTTCAAAGGTCCAAGTTATTGCGTTGACTCAGCTTGTTCCAGTTCCTTGTACGCTTTCTGCAACGCCATCGGTCAATTGAGGTCTGGTGAAGTCGATTACGCTTTGGTTTTGGGTAAACAACACTTTCCTTAGTAGTACTTCCTTCCATGTAAATAAACACCATTCCAGGAGCTCACTTGATCATCAACCTCGACGAAGCCGAGGAGTTCGTGAAGCTCCACGTCTTGAGCGATGCTTGCAAAGTGTTCAACGTCGACAGAAACGGTTTCGCTTTAGGCGAAGCCGTCGTCGGCCATTTTATCACGAGGTACCTCATTCGCATTTCGTACAGCCAATATACCAAGAGCTTTCGTATAAATTTAGGAAAAGCGCCAGTAGAAGAATCTACGCCGAGGTGTTGAGCGCTCAAATGAACGTCGACGGTTTCAAAAAAGAAGGAGTGGGTTCCCCGTCGCCTGCGGCGCAGGCGCAGCTCATCGAAAGCGTCTACAAGGAGGCCGGAGTATCGTTGGATGATTTGGTGTATATAGAAATGCACGGAACTGGTACTCTATTAGGTACAAAATTAGGCTACAATTTAATAATCGAACAATTTAAGGTACTAAAGTTGGTGATATAATGGAATGCCAAAGCATACTAGCAGGAATAGATGGAAAGAAACAACCTCTACTCGTCGGATCCGCCAAAACCAACACCGGACATTCCCTACAAGCCTCAGGTCTGGTCGGTATGACGAAACTACTTCTATCAATGGAAACTGGAATAATCCCGCGCAATTTATACGTGGATAACATCGATACAACGTTACCAGGAGTATCCAGCGGTCGCCTTCGAGTAACTATTCACCTATTTTGATCTACCGATTAAATTCAATTCGGCATTCTTGCAGCTCATCGACGCCCACGTTCCCTACTCCGACGGCATCCTCGGTGTGAACTCCTTCGGTTTCGGCGGAGCCAACGCCCACGTGGCGCTCCGACCTCTCGGTAAACTAGCCAAGAAGCCCACCAGCGATAGAAAACGAAGATTAGTCCAAGTATCCGGCCGTACCGAAGAATCCGTGGCGCATTTCCTCGACCAAACCGAGCTGCACCGCTCCGACGAGGAGTTCCTCGGTCTGGTGGACGAAATCCACAAGCGCAACGTCGAAGGACATCCTTACAGAGGCTACGCCGTCCTCGGCGAGTCCACCAAACGGGAGATATCGAAGGTACCGGCGGGAAAGCGACCGGTGTGGTTCATCTACAGCGGAATGGGGTCCCAATGGTCGGGAATGGGTAGAAGTTTGATGCATATACCGGCGTTTCGGGACACTTTCAGGCGATGCGATGAGGTTCTGAAGCCCTACGGGGTGGATTTGGAGGGGCTCATCATGCGCGGAACCGCCGAGGATATGGCTGATATAGAGAATTGCTTCTGCTCGTTGGTGGCCGTGAGTTTATCGCTCACGGAGCTGCTGGCTTCGTTGGGGATCGAACCGGATTATATGGCCGGGCATTCGTTCGGAGAAATCGGTAAATCACCGCCTGGTGATCAATATTTTTCGATAATTCAACGGAGTTCCAGGTTGCGCCTACGCTAATGGAGATATAACCGTGGAACAAGCGGTACTGGTGGCGTACGCTCGAGCGTACGCCTGCAAACAGGTCGACCTACCGCCAGGTCAAATGGCTGCAGTGGGAATGTCGAAGCAGGACATGCAGAAGATCATTCCGGAAGATGTTTACATCGCCTGCCAGAACAGCAGGGACAGCATCACCATCTCCGGCCCCAAGCAGTCCGTGTTGGAGTTCACCGAAGAATTAACCAACAGGAAGGTATTCAACAAGCTAGTGGAGACGTCTGGCATCGCCTTCCACACCAAGTACCTCATGAGCGCCGACAAATACATGCTGGACTTTCTGAAGGACGTTTTGGTGGATCCCCGGCCGAGGTTGAGCAAATGGATATCGACTTCTGTACCAGTCGATCAAAGGAACGCCGATTGGGCGAAGTACAATTGCGCCGAGTACCACGTGAACAACTTCAACAACACTGTACTCTTCGATGAAGTCTACCAACACATACAAAGCAATGCAATTGTAATAGAAGTGGCCCCACACGGGTTATTATGCCCGATACTTAGAAGGGAACTGGGTCCGGATAATTCGCTTATCAGTCTAATGAACAGAAACGCCGGAGATCAAGAGGAGTTCCTTTTGACTTCCATCGGAAGGTAATGGGAGTTTATTGTTTTGTAAGATAAACTTAAAGTAGTACCGTTGTAGGATTTTTTTGAACGGCGCTCAACCGAACTTGAGAGAGTTGTATAAGGAAGTATCGTTTCCCGTTAGCAGAGGTACCAAAATGCTATCGCCTCTGATCAAATGGGACCACAGTACTTCCTACTTTGTACCGGACGTGAAACCGACGCACTTCGGTCAAATCGTACCGATAAACGTGTCCAAAGAGGACTACCAATTTCTAAAAGGGCACGAATTGGACGGGAGAGTAATAATGCCGGCTTCTGGTTACATGGTAGGTACTTTAGAGCAATTTCATCAGTATTTAAATGATCGAGAATATTTCAATTTTCTAGGAACTAGCTTGGATGGTTCTCTCAGACATCATGCAAGTACCGCAGGAGCATTTACCGGTGATTTACGAAGATGTGAAGTTCATTCGAAGCACTGTATTACCCGATGAAGAAAACGTTTATTTTCTGGTTAACATCTTCAGGGAAACGGGACGTTTCGAAATTTTCGAAGGAAAGTCCGTTGTTTGTTCGGGAAAAATCGCGCCAGTAGAAGACACCTCTAAGATGTATTTGATGGAATCGTCCAGCAAATCGAGCGAAACCACACCGATAATGCAACGAGAAGATTTATACAAAGAATGGAGAATGGATCGTTACAGTTTTAAAGTCAGTTTGTATATTAGTTTGGTTTCTATTCTCCTCTCACTACTTCTTCCTGTCGTTCTTCTACTTCTTCTCTTCAATCCCTTCTGTACCTTCAGTCTTCTTCTGGTGTCTTCAAACAACCGATGATTTTAAGGGTGCTTTCCAATCCATCCGCCGAATAGACCTCGATGGCAGACGAATAGAAGTCGATTGGTGCAAAAACTTCACGACCCTCATCGACTCCTTCATCCAGATTTTCATGAAACACGACAACGTCAACAGAGATCTGTTCTTAGTCTCCAAACTTAAGAGGATGGTAATCGATCCGAGGGAATTACTGAAAATTTACGACAATCGTAAGTCAAATAAACTTATAAAACACCACTCCAAGTCATCATCTTCACCATTTCCAGATCTGCAGGTGTCCTTCGATCCGCATTCCAAGATGGCCGGTTCGAAGGGAGCCGAGTTGTTCGATGTGAAATTCGATTTGACCTCCATTCGGCACAAAACCCACGCCGATCCGTTGCTGGAATCCTACGAGTTGATCGAATACGATTCCTCCAACGCGGATTACGATCTGGAGACTTCTCTGTACATCTCCGTGCAGATAATCCTGCAGAACTTGAACGGCTTGGTGAAATTCGCGAGGGTAGGCGAAGTCGTGGAAGCTTCGAATTCCGCTGGTGTAATGGAGAAAGCTTTAGAGAGATTAGTTCTGGCTGAAGTCGAGTATGTTAAGCTGGTGAAGAGCAACTTCGAAGGATTGTTTGATGTGATAGTAATTGGATCGAATGCAGAAGTGTTTAGAAGAAGTTTGAAGGAAAACGGTTTTGTAATTTACCTCGGGAAATTAGATTATGCGGATGGATATGACGTGATTTTCCGAACACCCTGCTTGACTCTACTGCGTTGTAAAAGCGCTTTTCCTACTCTATACGACACTATAAACGTAAGAAACAACGATTTCAGTTGGTTGAAGAAAGTGCAGGAGGTGTCGAAAAGTCCTCGAAGGAAAACCGTCTTCCTTTTCAGCCAAAACGAACAATCCAGCGGTATAATCGGCCTCACCAAATGCCTAATGACCGAAGACACCAACGTCGATTTCAAAGCTATATTAATCGATCAACCAGCCGAAATATTCTCCACCGACGTGGAGCTATACAGAAACCAATTATCCAAAAATCTCGCCATCAATATTCTCAAAAACGACGCTTGGTACACCTACGCCCACGTTCTACTAAAACCAACCGAAAACAAACTAGTAAAAAACGCCAAAGTTTCATTAAAAACCGTTGGAGATCTATCCACATTGACCTGGACAGAAATGCCTGGATTTCCACCCAAGTAAGTACCCTTCTAAACAAGTATACAAAAATTACGCCGCTCTTCCAGCGATCCAGCGAAGTTCTCCAGCATCATCGACGTCAAATATCTAGCTCTGAATTTCCGCGACACTCTAATAGCCACCGGGGAATTACAAGTGAAGGAATTGGCACCCACCGATGATAAAATCAACATCGGTTACGAATTCTCCGGCGTCACCAAATCCGGAAAAAGGGTAATGGGCATGAGGTTTACAGATCCCTTCAACACGGAATTGCAGAATGAAAGCGGATTGACTTGGAATGTGCCAGACGATTGGAGCTTGGAAGATGCTGCTACAGTACCTATTGTTTATTCCACTGTAGGTGTTTGTTAGTAATTAATTTGGTGTAGGTTATGTTATTCATTTCTTTGTTAGTGTTACTACGGGTTGATTGTAAGAGCGCAAATGAGAGAAGGCGATTCGATTTTGATCCACGCAGGAGCAGGAGGCGTTGGTTTAGCAGCAATCCACATAGCTCTTAGCCTCAAAGCTACGATTTTCACCACGGTCAGCTCCCAAGCGAAGAAAAACTTCCTCTTGAAGACCTTCCCGCGACTACCAAGCGCTAATATCGGTAAACATAACCCACTCTTACACTTCGACATCGTTGTAATCGTTGTTTGCTTCAGGAAATTCCAGGGATCTGTCGTTTTATAACTTGGTGATGGCGAGAACGGACGGTCGAGGAGTGGACGTGGTGCTGAATTCGTTGGCCGGGGATTTCCTGCGGTTTTCTCTGGCTCTTCTGGCTCCGGAGGGGCGGTTCGTGGAGCTGGGTAAAAGGGATTTCGAAGCCGGAACGGCAGTGGACCCGGAGATGTTTCTAAAAAATTGCAGCATGCACGGCATCATGCTCGATCGTATCATGGAAGGCGACTCGAAGACGAAGAAGGAGATTTTTCGGATGGTGCAAAAAGGTAATTTGATGGTACTGATAGCGGAAGATTGTTGTAATGATGAGTGTTAAGGTATCGAATCTGGTGTTGTTAAACCGTTACCAACGACGATTTTCGAGAAGAATCAGTTGGAAGAGGCTTGGAGATATTTGGCTTCGGGTAAACATAAAGGGAAGGTACTAATTAAACTTGCGGATGGTGATCAACCTGGACCATCATCATTCTTAGCTACACCAAGAATTAAATTTAATCCAGGTGCGTATTGAATCCAACAAATTACTCCACTACAACTGTTAATTCTTCCAGATAAAGTATTCATAATCGTCGGAGGTCTTGGCGGTATGGGATTAGAGTTGGCCTACTGGTTAATAACGAAAGGAGCCAAAAAAATCATCTTAAACTCCAGACGAAACGTCTGGAACGGCTACCAAACCTCCAACATCGCCAAATGGAGCAACTACAAAAACACAACAATAAAAATCAACTTACAAGACACCTCCAAATACGAAGAAGCCCAGAAACTCATCACCGAATCGCAACAATTAGGCGACATCGGCGGGATATTCAACACAGCTTTAGTTCTACGAGACGACAACATCTTCAACCAAACCGCAGAATACTTCGAAGCCGTCTTCGAACCGAAACTGCGCTCCTGCGAACACTTGGACGCCATCACCAGGCGATCCTGCCCAAATTTAGACCACTTCGTGGTGTTCTCGTCGGTAGCAGCAGGTAGAGGGAACTTGGGACAAACCAACTACGGAATGTCCAACGCGGCCATGGAGAAGCTCTGCGAGAATCGCAGGGCCTGCGATTTGCCCGGCTTGGCCGTCCAATGGGGCCCCGTAGGAGACGTCGGGGTCTTAGGAAACGACGGTAACAGTAACATCAAGGTGAGATTTAGCGCTTTAGTGTTTGAGATGTTTATGTGGTGAGATTTATCCGAAGTTTGGATCTGGTGGATTCGAGAGACAGTCGATCGAATCGTGCTTGGACGCTCTGGAAACGTTCCTGGTACAAAACGTTGTAGTGGGAAGTAGCTCGATTTTGAGAAACGTCCGATCGTCGGAGGATGAGAGGGAGGTGAAGACGCCGGCGAGCGTCGTGGCGCGTGTTCTGGGAATGGAATATTCAGGCAAGTAATTTTCGTTCAAATCTGCATGGTTTATCATTGAGTTGGTTATCAGATTCCATCGATTCGACGAGGAAACTGTACGAATTCGGATTGGACTCGTTGATGGTGGCCGAAGTCAAGCAGACTTTGTACAGGAACTTCCAGTTGGAATTCGATTCGAAGTCGATCAGAGAACTCACCTTCGAGCAACTTAAGAGTTATGGAGTTTGATTGTCGCGCTTGGTGGGTATGTAAGTTAAAAATAAACGTTTTTAGATGATTTTAGTTTTGATATTTAGAAAAAACTATCACCTAAATGTACATTCTAATTAAACCGTTAGGATTTTTTCGTCGCCTTCGGCGGCGACGGCGGCGGTTCGCTCATGTACCAATCCTCGCTGGAATAGAAATAGAACATATTAATAATATTTATAAACTCGTTAAAAAAATCAATCGTACCATCCTTGCACGTTTTCCGGCGCATCGCACTTTTGCAACTCCTCGTTATAAACCTCTCCGACTTGACAACCCAATTCTCTAGCTTCGATGCCGTTCAAGCAAACGTAGAACTTCTGGCAATCCGACGGATGGGCGAACTTCGGATGGATCACCAGGTTCCCGTTGTTGTCCTTCTGGCTCTCCGTGGGGCAACTGAAACCGTCCGTCAATTGATCTAAAACAAATCAACATTCGAAGTTTCTATTAACGGAGGAACCCCCGGACGTTATCTTACTGTTGCTGACGTCGCAACCGGTCCTCTCGGAGCTCTCCGGCCACACGCAGATGCCCGAGTACTCGTCGAAGTAGAGCCCCGCCGTGCAGGTCACCTCGATGTGCTCGCCGTGGATGCAATTGTAGAACCTGTTGCAGATCTTGGGGTTCTCGTGGGCGAAGAAGCCGTTCTGGCGCGGACAGACGCCTTTCGGTTGCGGCGGTTCTGAAAGAGGCAGTGTAAATAGAGGTTTCTTCTAAGGTTTGCGGTTGAGGGAGAAAAGAGGAAGGTTAAATGGGTCTTCTGGTGGTTGTGGAAGGACCAGGGAGAAAAGAGGAAGGTTAAATGGGTCTTCTGGTGGTTGTGGAAGGACCAGGTAGAAAAAAAGGAAGGGTCTTCTGGTGGTTGTGGAAGGACCTACGTAATTCCGTTCTGTCGCCGCAATCGACGTTGAAGGGCTGGTCGCATTTGTTCCTTTTCCTGATTTCTGGATTGAACACCAGTCCATCTGGGCATAGTTTAGTTTTGGCTTGGCCGTCTTTGCATTCGTAGAATTTGTCGCATTGTATCTCGTCTGGATATTGGTCGTCCTTGGGCGGGCATATGAATTGTGCACCTGGAAATTAACAAATTTAAATTGCATGTTAAGTGATTATTTGCCAATTTTGTGTTGCAATGTTATGTGGACATTATCAAGAATTTGGTTTTAAATTTGTCGAATCGGTATCATCGGTAATCATCAGTATCTAGGATTTGTCGAATTTTTCTAACAGAATTTAGAAAATGTTGTGCAAAATGTACAGTTTCGGGTGAGCTCATCTTACACAGTGAAATTTTACCTAAATTAAGGAAATTCTTCGTGGATTATAAATGACTCATTAAAAACATGATATAAAAATGATTGGGCGATTGCAGGTGAAAAATTCGTAATTCGTGATTCGTATAATTGCTTTCGATAGGAAATAATTAAGATAATAGCGCAAAAAAAGATAAACTCACAACAAGTCCAAACATGGTTTTGAAAACCTTCTTTGTTATAAAAATACAACATTTTTATAATTCCACCAATCTAGTGATCGAGGAGTGGCCTTCAATCACGACCAGCTCGCTCCCCTGATTTGAACCCCTTGGATTATTCGAAAGATTTCGCTAACTGGGAAAATTGCTGAACTCACCAGGCGTTTTTGTTCACCTTTTACATTCCCCATAGATGCAAATTAATTAGAAAATCGTCTGTTACAGCTCTCGCAAATCAATTAGCAAACCGCAAAAAATTACATTACCGTCTGTCGATTAGGTAAGATCGATTGCACAATCGATTTGCATTCGGTGAAAGCACAAAATATCATTTCACACATAACACGTATGAATTAACAGAAGAAAAAAAAATCCCAACATATTGCAAGCACCGAAATGTTTTTTTACCTACCAACAAATCCACTCAAATCTTACAATTAGAATCTACTTACTTGCGATCGTTAGACAAAAACCGAGGATTAAAAATTTCATTGCACCGGATTAGATCGTGTTTATATGGCTAAATTCGAAATGAGACTGAGACCGGCAGAAGTTCAAATCTAAACTGAAAGTTCGATTCAACATTCGACGACTCTATCTCGTTCCCGTTCGAGGCCGTAGAAAGTGCAAGTGTATTCGACCGCAATCCTCATACATATTCTTATTATGCGACGAGAAATGGATAAAACAGACGGCGTGAAGAAATAACCGATTGGGCGTAGTAGGGGCGATCGGATCGATGCAAAAAAAATGTATTAATCACCCTTTAATTACAAGAAAATCTGGTTGAAAATTCTAGTTGAAATTAATATTAAAAGAAGAAGAATTGTACGGGAACAACTGATTAACATCAACTTCTTCCGTTTTTGTGTTAACCAATTCCATTATAAAAAAGTTATAGAATTTGAATATTGCAAATAATAGGGCGTATTAAAATAATTGCGCGAGAAAGCTGGCTGAATACATGATTGGATAAGAGGCCACATAAGCGAATCAGTAACTTTTACATAATTGCTCCGCTCTTCGTTGGATCCGGTTGGTTATTTGAAACGACATTCCAATCCAAAAAGCCAAGCAACGCTCTTTATGTGGAAGAAAACCGATCAACAAAATACAAGGTCGTCACCCTACCTTTTCGTATAATCAATTCGAAAGGTTAACAACAACGCACCGTTCTCGGAATAATGCATAAAAGATTATTTCATTGGCATTCGCAAGGTTTTTTATACAAGAATCAAGAAGCATCTTCTATACCTCTCTACAAAGCGTCATTAGTCCTTCTTCGTTTTTATCCGGCCTTTTACTTAAAGTGAGTACAGCGTGCGTGTCCTCTTACACGATACAGTAACGGTTACATGTAACAGTTGTTGAATCGAAGAGTGCCAAAAAAGAGACTGCTCGTTGTCAAGGCGACGATGTAAACTAAACAGTGGAAACTGTTATCTAAAAAAAACCAGACAGACAATAAATACCAATCAAACGCACACGTAAAAATTCGACGTTAAAAATTATGCGCCAAAATTTCGAAAGTGTTTCGGTACCGCGACGGGCGCGCGCCCGACGGCCCCTCATTTAGGCGCGACTCGGCGCCCGGCGCGCCAAAATCCAAATTCCAAAAGAAAAATGTCTATTACCAAAGCTAATCGGAAATTTCGACGTCGGCGACTGCGGCTAAATTAAAGGTAAATATCCCTTCGAATTGATTATCCCATCTCGAATTGATCTTTTGCGATTTGAATCGATGCAAATTCGCGGGTAAAGTGGAGGGAAATTTGATTGTTTCGAGCAGTAAATTGGCAGAAGTAATCCGTAAAATTAAGCTCAATTCACAGTTCATAGTGAGATTAATTGGTAATTTGTATGAGTCAAAAGACAGTCAAATCAGAGCTTAATAGAATTAAATAATGCGAAATACAGGTTGCTCCATTTTTGATTGCAACATAGAATATATATGGCATGGGTACGATAAAGACAACTTCCATTAGACACTTATAAAGGAAAAGGAAATAGTGACATTTGTGTCATTGCAACTTTTCACTTTGACACCTGTCATTTTAATAATCTTTCTTTGTTCCACTCATAGAAATGACCATGTTGCAATCGGAAATGGAGCAACTAATCTCTAACCCGGCTCGAGCGAAACTCTGATATATTTTTGGTGTAATTTCAGAACGATGGAAAGAAGAAGTTCGATGATAATTTTGGTCAACCGCGGTGGTCGACGCAACTAAAAGGAAACTAAAAAAAAAATAGGTTACAATTATGAACAGGCGCCAAAAGGACCGTTACTCGAGAGACAAATAAAAAATTGACTCCTTCTGTATGATTTGAAGACGAATCGCGCGGTAATGTAACTTAAAATGTACAGTCATATTCCGTGATGATGGTTCGCCTGTGAGGCGAAACGTCTGGACGACTAGCCGCTTAGAGAGCTGGTCTATAAACTATATAAAGGAAGAAAATTTTACGCACGTCTATCAGGGGGAATAAATTGCTCACAAATCAATAAAGTCGATAATAGAATTTTTAGCGCTTCATTAACGAAAAAAACCTGTCCTGGATCCATATGGCATATCCCGCCGCCACGCTTAACCTTTTTATTTGGTAGGGAAATGGGAGAATCAAGAGAGAAGTTATGATGGCCTGTTTGCTGAACGGACCGGCGGAATAATTCTCGTTTATTATTTGGGATGACTTGCAATTGACAGTTGGTCACTGTCGACTGGTAGAAACGTTTTAATCGAATACTCCAATCTTTAAAATAGGTTAAATAAATCCCCTTTGAAATACTTATGAATATATATAAATGATGTAAAAGCCTTTGCTTGCGCTTCAAATACGTACTAAAGTCTATGGAAAACAAAAAACGAATCTTATTATAATGAAATTGTTTAGAAATTGATCCGGGTAACAGTCTTGCGGATGCGTCGAAACGAAATTTATTGTAACCTACTCTGATGATATCGGTGTGTTTCTTATTGAATTATATTTAATTATATGCCTAATGGACAGATTAAACATGTAAAATTGCGAAATAAATTATTTTATTCAATTTACTTGTAATTTTTTACACAATTTTAATATGGCCTGTGATTTGGGTACAAACTAGAAGCATCCTTATGATTTGGAGGAAGTTCCTTTTGCTCGAACTTTATTCTTCTAGCGCGATGGACGTTTTTGCTGAGTTGCGACGATTTCTTATCGAAATCTTCGTCTCTTTTATCGAATTTATCGACATCGTCGAAACCTTTACTGGCGAATCTACTAACATCCTCACCGCGCGTCTTCTGCTTGGATCTCTTGTAACCATTCTCCTTTTTGGCCGATTTATCCTGCTGATCCTGGTACCTGCTTCGCGAACGATCCCTGTACTTGTCCCCGTACAACTTGTGCTGCTTGTGGTACTCGTCCTTGTGGAACCGGTTGTTGTAGCCTTTGGTCTTGTGGCCTTTCTTGTGACCCTTTTTCTCGCCGAACTTGGCCGATTTGTGGCCTTTTTTACCTTTGTACTGCTTCTTCACTTCATCTAATCTATCCTCTTCTTTACCATCTTTAGCCTCAGCTACCGGTTTGTCTTCTATTACTTCTTGTTGTTCTGTAGGTGATTCGGTTAGAGCGACATCTTCTGCTTCGTGTTTCGTTGTAGTTTCTTCGGTAACTGCAATCGAAATTAGAAAAATAAACGATTAATTCGAGGAATTGGTTACTCACTTTCTTCGACTAGGGCTTGGGAGACGATCAAGTCGGCGGGCGGGGGCGGCGAGACGCCGAACAGATCGCGGTTGTTGAGCGAAAATTCGCTGATGTATCGATGGGGAAGGGCCAGAGAGGAATCGAGGAAAACCGAAACCAATATGGCGACGATCAGGCCGGACATGTCGCTGATAAATGCGCTCCGACGGCGATCTTCGGCGCACTTTTATAATGTTATCTCTTCACTTTCTAGCAGGAAACGAGAGGAATGGGAATTTCACGGTCGATTCGTTCCGAACGATTTTGTTCGGGGTTTGAAAGAATTTCGGAAAAAAGTATTGGATGTTGCGTAATCACATCGAATGTGTTATTAGCAACTCTTTCGTAAGTGTTTAGGTTCTATAACAATGTTAAGTACTTATCTAATAATTTGATCTTTCGGTGATAATGGCAACATTGCCTAGAAACAAGTTGCCACCCTGTTGAATCTAGTAACATCATTACCAAGTAAACATACACCTCTTCCTCCATTTCCGATTGCAATATGGTTGTTATGAGTGGAACAAAGAAAGATTATTAAAATGACAGTTGTCATAGTAAAAAGTGACACAAATGTCACTCTTTCTTTTTCCTTTACAAGTGTATGTTGCGATCAAAAATGGAGCAACCTGTATACAATAATTAGTATAATAGTTGATAATGTTAATATAGGTACTTGTAGTAATTAAAATTGACTTTCAAATTCAAATAAACCGCCTTTGTAATCTTCGGCGAGTCGAAATTCGCACAGAAATTGCATCGGTTACGTAATTTAAAACCAAGTCTATTTTCCGGCGCTGGGCATTAAAAGGGCGCCGACGCCGATATCGATTGTTTCCACGTCGTGAGTTCGCGAGTGTCGTGAGTGACGTAAGGACGTTTTTTCCGTCCTCTCAATCGACAGGTACGTGAAAATATTAACGAAAATTCAACGAGAGGAATTTTAAGTTTCTCACCTCCACCCCAAAACACTATTATGTCTTCATCTTCCTCTGATCCCCGCACGATCGCTTCTAAAATCGCTTTTTATTCAATCATTCTAGTCACCTATTGTAGATATCTCGCGTTATTATTTCGCTGTAATCAACAATTCACCACTCATTAATACACCACCATCTTCATAATCCACAATTCCAACATCTTGTTATTAATCGAACGATTTAGCAACACCGCTCTGCTGCGCGCGCAGGTATTTCTCAAAGCCCCAAGCTTGTTCTTAATACTAAAAGCTAATGTTATTTACATTCTTTAAGAAATATAGTTTCAAAATGTTACGAATTATATATTTCAAAATTCCTGTAGTAGATAAACTCTTAGAAATTTGGCAACGGTGTACTATCGCTCGTTAAAATTTTTAGACGATTTCGACTAAAGAGAGATCGGAGAAGAGAACAGTATCTATCTCATTTTCCCAGCGAATAATAGCAAATATCGGGAAGCAGTTGTCACTGTTTTTTCATGCAATATCAACAAAATATTCATACGTAATACTAAATAATGTTATATTTTTACCACAACAATTCCTAACGTAATTAAATTCTTATTTAAAATATATTTGCCTACTCTCGAGGCGCCTGATTGGATCCGCCATGTTACCTCTATTTGTCTCTCTTACCTTTTCTGCCCCGTTTACTTAATAAGTGACAGACAATTTTTCAATGACGGTTGACGTTGACGGGTGTCAAAAACGTTTGAATTTACAAATGACCGGTTAGCCCGTTGGCGATGCGAAATGTGAACTGTTTACTTGTTCCAGAGCGCCATGACCGCCTCCTAGGGCCCCTGTTATGCCGCTGCGCCGGGAAATCCGCTGAAGCGCCCCCACCGGACGAGCAACAACCATGGCGAACGTGGCCCATTTGGTGCGCAGGCAGAGCTCGCGCGACCTCAACCCCCAGCGCTCCCTCGACCGGCTCGAATTGCGCGAGATGCGGGGCCGGCTCGTCTCCGAGAACGGCGCCGGCGGCGGCGCCTACGGCGCCACCAACGCCGCCTTCATCGAGGAGTCCAGTCCGGGCAGCAAGGCCAAGTCGAATTTGAGCAGCAAAAGGTGAGCGAAATCGATCAACTAAACGATTTTTGGTGATGCGAGTGGTTGTTTGTAGGAATTCCACCGACGGTAAAGGCATCTTCAAGCCGGAATGCGGTGAAGACGAGCGTGAATCCTGGGATAGCAAGCTCACCTTCTTGTTGGCTACCATCGGGTATGCTGTTGGTTTGGGTAACGTGTGGAGGTTTCCTTATTTAGCGCAGAAAAACGGTGGTGGAGCCTTCCTCATTCCTTACTTCGTTATGCTGGCCATTGAAGGTATACCAATCTTCTATTTGGAGCTGGCAATTGGCCAGAGACTGAGGAAGGGCGCCATCGGCGTTTGGAACCAAGTTTCCCCATTTCTAGCAGGTATACACTTCAAAAATATTCACCAAATTCATCTTAACAACTCTCGTTTCAATAGGAATTGGAATAAGTAGCGCCGTTGTATCATTCAACGTAGCCCTATACTACAACACCATCATAGCTTGGTGTCTGTTCTACTTCGTGCAGAGTTTCCAAAGCCAACTACCTTGGGCCGAATGTCCTAACGTTTATTTCCCCAACGGTTCATACACCACAGAAAAAGAATGCGAAGTACATTTGTAACATCTAACTCGCTTTGGAGATACTAATTGTAGATTTCCAGGTGAGCAGTCCAACGCAATTCTTCTGGTACAGAACCACGTTGATGATATCGGAAGACATCAACACGCCGGAGAGCTTCAACTGGAAAATCGCCCTGGCTCTTCTAGTAGCCTGGATTCTGGTGTATTTATGCATGATCAAAGGCATCGCTTCGTCGGGAAAAGTCGTCTACGTGACGGCCACGTTTCCCTACCTGGTGCTCATCGTGTTCTTCTTCCGCGGCATCACGCTGAAGGGCGCCGGCGACGGCATCAGGCACCTGTTCACGCCCAGCTGGCACACCATCCTCGATCCGGTGGTGTGGCTGGAGGCGGGCACGCAGATCTTCTTCTCGCTGGGGCTCGCCTTCGGCGGCCTCATCGCCTTCTCCTCCTACAATCCCATCAACAACAATTGCTACAGGGACGCCATCATGGTGTCGTTCACGAATTGCTTCACGAGCATGTTCGCCGGCATCGTCGTCTTCTCGGTGATCGGCTTCAAGGCGACGATGGCGTTCGAACGTTGCTTGGAGCTGAGGAATCACACGTTGAGGGAGTTCTTCGGCGGGGCGTTTAACGGTACGATTCTACCCGAAGCGAAGACGATCGTTAATTTCAGCTTGGGCGGGGAGTTGGTGAGGAAAATGATGCCCGAGCTGCCGGTGTGCGATCTCCAGCAGGAATTGGACAAGGTGATGTCCCATATGAGATTATTTATAATGTATCTACTAAATTTTTGTTTCGAATAGTCGGCGTCCGGTACCGGATTGGCGTTTATAATCTTCACCGAGGCGATCAACCAATTCCCCGGCGCCCAATTCTGGTCGGTGTTGTTCTTTCTCATGCTGTTCACGTTGGGCATCGACTCGCAATTCGGCACGCTCGAGGGCGTCGTCACGTCGTTGGTCGACATGAAACTGTTGCCCGGCGTGCCCAAGGAGATGCTGACCGGCGGTCTGTGCGTCGCCTGTTGTCTCATCTCGATGGGCTTCGCCCACGGCGCCGGCAGCTACGTGTTCGTCCTCTTCGACGGCTTCTGCGGCAACTATCCGCTGTTGATCATCGCCTTCTTCGAGTGCATCGCCGTGTCCTACGTCTACGGATTAAGAAGGTACTGAAGCAATCCAAAAACCCAGCAAAGCATTACTATAATTGTGTCGTCTGAATAGATTCGCCGATGATATTGAGATGATGACCGGTAGTAGACCTGGTCTATATTGGCTGGTGTGCTGGAAATACCTGTCGCCTTTGGCGATGCTGTCTATATTGGTGGCGAGTTTCGTGGAAATAGCGGTCGATGGTAGCGGATACTCGGCTTGGGTGGCGTCCAAAGGGGAAACCGTTCGACAACCGTGGCCCGTTTGGGCTATATCGTTAATCACTGTACTGGTATTGGCTTCTGTTTTGTGGATACCGGGTTCGGCTATAGCAAGGTAAAACCTAGTAAACCAGTATGTACATGGAGGTATTAAAATAGGTGGTCTTTTACGTTGTAGGTTGTTCGGTTACGTGGTGATCGATGACAACGAGAAGGCTTGGTTTCCCGCCGACGAGTTGAAGGACTTCCACGGGATAATGCCGCACGAGGTGACCGCCGCCGAGAGGATGTTGTTTTGCATAAGGGCCGACGGGTCGGAGGGGTTGTGTTGCCCCACGAGGTACGCCTATGACGAAGACGACGACGATGGCGCTTAAATAAGATTCCGGCTGGACGAGTAACCGGTAGAGGGCGCTTTAAATTTTGAAGAGGAATTATTGAAAGGTATACAATGAAGTTTTAATATGAGTAAACGAAATTAAAATAATGGTGCTAGTTAGTAGCGTTCTATTTTCTACCACCAGAGGGCGTATAGCTTGTATTGAATTGCCGATAAAGTGGGAAATTGAATTGGAATTGCAGGAATGGATTGTTTGGAAGAATAGTAATAAATTGTCATCGAAATTTAACGCCTTCATGCGAGTATAATTAATGAAAATAACGGTTGTTGCTGGAAAAACGAATTAGTAAAAAAATCATAACAAGTTATGAGTAACTCATATCAATGGAATTGATTAATCAATATTAATCCGACAATAATCGAAATGAGATTAATAATATCTAATATTTTTTTTCTTTCGATATTTATGTGTTTGTTATTGTTAATTATGCTACATGCTACTTATAATATTATATTAAGCACAGGGTGAATTTTTGTCTATTTAATTAATCATATCGGAGAAAACGTCTAATTAAACTGAATTTAAATTAATATCATCGAATGTTCCGCATATCTTCATATGCATATCAATACTGGGTATATCATTAAATTACGAAAATATTAGATATTTGTATCACCCTGTATGCATAAATTGAAATTTATGTAATTTTATGGGGCGCTTAGATAGTTCGTATTGGAACGTCGCCATTACATTTAGTCAATTTTAAAATCAATAATAATTTAGACAATAAATCTAGGATTAAGACAAAAGTATTTTAATTAGACGACTGTCGGTGTAATTCGATTGATTCCTCGGTAATATTTGGATGTGAGTAGTATTTTTTTTTTGTATTCTGATTGATAGAAGAGGCCAAATATTTTTGGGCGATTTTTTATCGAATTTTGGAAATGTTTTCGAATGGGTATGAATTATTCGAAATTTGCAAAATAATAATACAATTTGATCGGAATCAAACACGCTTTAATTACCCATTTAGTTAATAAATTTACCAAAATTCATAATTAACGTCCAAATTACCTTTACAAAAGACAATAAATTGTATTTCCATTGCCTAATTATATTTTACGAATGCACAAAAACAATTTTTATAGCATTTATTTTCTAGTTAGATATATGTATGTTTAAAAAAGCCTATATAAATAATATACATATGTTATTAATAAGCGATAAATATGTGTAAAAAAAATAGTAGGTAAATAATGTTAAAACTTTTTGACAATAAGTAAAAACCCTATTATTGTTAATCATATCAATTGTTGTTTATTTCCTTCAGAAAAAAATATGTAAATATAGCCTGTTAATAGATGGAATCAATAAAAAGCATCAGTGTTAAATAACTTTTAATCCTCCCTCCGATTTATTACCCAAAAATTAAATTACCACCCAACTTTAGTAATAATAGCATTTCCCCCCAAATCCTTTGATTTATGCACGAAACGTGCAACGCACCATTAAGCCAGCTACACAGAGAAAACTTTACCGCGTCAATTACACTAGAAAAAATTGTTTTTAGGCTACAACGCAAGCGCATCACTCATTATAACGGTTATCCAGGATTAAATAATCAGGTTATTCCATTTCCGCGTTCCCTTCGAGCGCTCGTATCACTCTATATTTAGCCTTCCAGATCGATAATTCGGCGAGAGCTTGCGCACCTGTCGCGCCTTTCCAGGCCTATCCAGGCTCCGAAGTCGCCGCATCCAGTCGACCAGCCGCCGATTTCATCGACCATTAACGTCGCAATTCGCCGCGGAATTTTCCTTTTTTTGGTTTCGGTTTTTTTCGATTCCGATCGAGGCGTCGCCTTCGCGGTCCTCTTCTCGTTTCCAGTTTTCGAAAACCGTTCGAAGCCGCTCAACAGGTAAGAGAATATCGATCGATGTTTGCGTTTGGGTTTCCGCGAATTGTTGTGTGTTCGTTAGCGGGGAATTCGATCGGTGAAGGTAATGTTTTTTTATGCGAAGGATTTCTCGTAAATATGCATTTTCTGATAAACTTTCGTGTTTTCCATTGTTTCGTCGGCTAGAGTACGAGATTATTTAATTCTAAACGGATGAATTACTAATTAATAAACCGCACCGCTGACGAATTTGTGCGGTTAAATGTTTGCTAGAATTTACAGCGCATTTTGTCGTAGTTTTAATCGTAATGTCATTCATTCTTGTACGTTTTATTCGCCAATTTCCTCATCAAATTATTTTTGTATGCGTTAAAAAATAGGTATGTAGATTTTTTTCCAATATTATTAACCCACCATCACCAATTTCCTCTCCATAACAAACCGCTCTAAAATTCTCCTCTACCTTTTATCAAGAAATTTCCCTTTGCATCATAATCAAACATTAACATTCAACCCCCCGTATTGGACACAATCGTAGTAAAAGGCCACAAGTGATGCGTTCGCCGAGTGCAAGTTCGGAACAATTCGGATCCACGCAAAAAATGACAGAACAATACGTCAACTTGCATAACATCCAAAATGGCGGACGATTAGCATTTTTAAATCGCGATTGCGAGCCGAAACGAATTCAGCCAGTAAAACGATGATCTAATTCGTAATCAGCACACCCGTTTCCATCTTCTCATACACCTCCCCGGCCCCCAACATAACTCTGGCCAAACGCATTTCCAGATGCCGGACAACCTGTTAGTACCAGTCAACTACATCATAATGGCGGAAGCCGAGCCCGACCTGAGCACCTTCGAGAACAAGACCGGCCTGGCGGAGGACATGAAGTTCCTGGCCTCGATGCCGGAGCTGTGCGACGTCACCTTCCTGGTGGGCGACACCAGGGAGCCCGTTTGCGCCGTGAAGGCGGTGCTCGCCGCCCGATCGAGGGTGTTCCACAAGATGCTCTACCAAGTGAGTGAAGGCTGATCAAAATCCGGCTTGTACATAGGCTTTACCTCAACGGTGTTTTCGCAGGCGCCGAGTCCGCAGCGCAGGAAGGACCCGCCGCCCAGGGAGAACAAGCTGCGCTTGTTCCTGAAGCGATCGTCGGAGCCGCTGTTGAATTTGCAAAACGCCAGCCAGCAGGTTTGTAAGCGCTTTCGTTGCGGCGTTTCCCGTGAGCAATTCTTCGGCCGAATTGCTCGCGGGAAATATTTTATTTAGACGATTTAGAATCGCATCGAGTACATGATGACTATATGCTTTATAAATAGAGAGGCTTCACCCAGCAGCTGGCTCCTATCCAAGAGGTAAACGCTTAAGAGAAATACAAAAAGAAAACATCAACCATCCTCTTTACCGATTATAGTGCTTGCCTTGTAGAATTGTGTATGAGGAGATATACAGGTTGCTCCATTTTTGATCGCAACATAGGTTATATAAGCCATGGGTGCGATAAAGACAACTTCCATTAGACGCTTACGAAGGAAAAGGAAATAGTGACATTTGTGTCATTGCAACTTTTGCACTCTGACAACTGTCATTTTAATAATCCATCTTTGTTCCACTCATAGAAACGACCATGTTGCGGTCTGAATTGAAGCAACCGATATAAGCACATTTTTTTTGAGCAATTTATATGACTTATTACACATTTCGATCCTGATTAGTGCAATGCTGAATGATTATTGAATTCATTTAGTTGGTAGCATGTTGTTTAGTTTATTAATTGAGTAGAGTAATTTTGTACTATTACGCAGATAACTCGTAAATTATTAGGAATTAGATATTGGATTACTGGTACGAAAATAATCAATTTCGCTTCGTTCGAATCACAGTTTCTATCGTACAATAATGCTTCGAGAAGTGCACCCAATCTTTAAACTTTAGAGTTAGAGCGCACGTATTTATTTACACTTTATATTACAGTAGATATTTTTGTATATATTTCCTCATCTACATTCTCATCGACAGTCTGGTTTTCTAGCCGACGTCCCAGCAACACCAGACCCTCATCATCGAGGAATTCGAGCCGGACGTCTTTCGACAGCTCATCGAGTACATCCACACCGGTTGCGTCACCCTGCAACCCAGAACTTTGCTAGGTCAGTTCCGCTCAAACTCTCAAATCGAAAATGGAAAGCTCTAATCTCGGTTTTTTTTTTAATTTTATCTTCGACAGGCGTGATGAACGCGGCGGATTATTACGGCCTCGACGAATTGCGCAGGGCCTGCGCAGGCTTCGTGCAATGCTGCATCAACGTGGACACCGTTTGCGCACTTTTGGCCTCCGCCGAACGGTACATCCAGTACAAGTGCACCAAATCCCTCGTACAAAAAGTAAGCAAAATGTACATTTGACAACCGACATTCGACAGACGACAATTGACAGATGACAGTTGAGCGGTAGTAGGTGACGTTTGACAGTTGAAAAATGGTGTTTTATGGCAGGTGTTGGAGTTCGTGGATGAGCATGGAAACGAAGTGTTGAATTTGGGATCGTTTACGCTGTTGCCGCAGCACGTTGTTCGATTGATTTTGGCGAGGGAGGAATTACAGGCGGACGAATTTACCAAGTTTCAAGCGGCTCTGATGTGGGGTAAGAAAATTTCTTTTATACAAATGGTACATTGGATTTTTTTTGGATAAATTCATACCGTTAAAATTATTCTCTTATAGTTTGTTATTAAATTTCTCGACCGTAACACCAGTGAGTGACAATAGAAAATTTAAAAATGTACTTAATTTTTTTATAAACGATTAATATAATTTATTTCTCAATTCAATTTCGCCAATATACCAGTAGGCGTTTCAGTATTTATCCTCAACATGTTGAACTTCGTTATTAAATTCGCTTTAATTAATGATATTATTATTTTTTTATTGATCTATATATATTCGATAGGTAAAAAATATTGCGACAATAATCCCAATACGAGCATAAAGGAGGTGGTTGGAAATTTTATGGAATACATTCAATTCCATAAGATACCGACCAACGTGCTAATGAGAGAAATTTACCCTCTCGGTTTGCTGCCGCAAAATCTCTTTGTAAACGCTCTGGCCTATCAGGTGCAGTAAAATTCATTATTTATCACTTCAAATTCATTAAATATACAAGGTGGTTCAATTAAATTCCGATATATTCCTTTAGTCATAACAGTTTTTAATCACATCAAATGCTCGATCGGATTTAATTGCAACAACTAAACGCATATATAGTCTTTCCAGGGTCACTTTAAGTTTTGAATTTACAAATTGACTTTGGACGGACTATTTTAAATCAAACGGGCAGCAGGATACTTATTCATTTTGTTAATTGTTAATGCATTTCAAATTCGATGCGCTCTAGTAACATTTCCTTCATCGCATTCGAATCGAATTTGAAAGGCAAAAAATTCGACAAAGCGTGTAATTTTTTTAGTATTTACCATTGCGATACTTTGACTTACGTAGGTAAGAAGTATTGCGACAATAATCCCCACATCAACATAAAGGAACTGATCGGCAACTTCTCGGAGTACATTGAATTCCATAAAATACCTACGAATATTCTTATGAACGAAATCTATCCTCTAGGCTTGTTACCGGACGCGATATTTGTTAACGCCTTGGCGTTCCAGGTGCAGTAGATACACTATTTTTTTTTTTGGCTCTATTTATTATTTACTTCTAATTTCTTTTCTCATTTCTTCCGTTTCTCACGGTATGGTAACAGGATACTTGTATATACTCGTTACTCGCTTATTGAATCGTTAAAACCAAACCGAATGCTTGTAAATTATTGCGTTATTAACATTTAGTTTTGGTTGTTAATGGTATCTTAACAGCTTCTTTTTCCTATTTTTCTCTCACAATCTCTTAATAATAATGCGTAAGAAAACTTGTTGGATTAGCTTATTAGCAAGTTTTCTTGTGCACTTTAATAATCTATGTATAAAAGTAGGTGAAAGAGACTCACATTGTAATATATTGTAAATAATTGAATCTGAAGATGAATCTAACGCACTGTACATACAATTTTAAACGTTGATTTTTTTTTTCTCTTTTTTCAAACTTCTATTAGGTAAGAAATACTGCGACAATAATCCTAGCACCAACATAAGGGAGGTGATGACAAACTTTTCGGAATATATCGCATTTTATAAAATACCGGCTAATCTGCTGATGAAGGAGGTCAATCCGCTGGGTTTGGTGCCTAACGATATTATCGTTAACGCGCTCGCCTATCAGGTGCAGTAACAAAAATGTTGTATAGCGCCCTTTTTAACACGTCGACCGCCGTTTTTTATTGTTTCATTTCACTGTATAATATCTTGAGATTGTCGTGTCGAAATTTGAAACAAATCGGAGCAAAACTGAGGAAGATAAAGAACTTTATAGAACGAGAAGCAGAGCAGGAAATTAGCTTTGTAGATTTCATTGAAATTTTGTCTACTACTTGATTTTTTTTAAATTAAAGTAAGCGCGGCAGTCGACGTGTTAATCGCAAATGTATCGGATAATAAGTGAATTAAAAATTAGTTTAGACAGTCGCTTCTTATCCGATGGTTTGTGGACGAAATTCCTCGTAAATGGGCAGAGTAAATTAATTGTTGGCAGCGTGTAAAGGCTTTTGAGTAGAAGTACCCCTCCAAAAAAAAAAGAAATTTTTCATTTTTCCGAAAAGTAATTGTTACGCAGAAGTTAAATTCGCGAAAACGACGTTAGTAAGTATGATTTGTGTTGGTGTGCTTGGTAGTTATTGGACTTTAATGGTGCATGGTGTATTTTATAGCTTCATGTAATTGCTGTTAGGCAATATGCAATCAAAAACGTTCAATTAAATTATAAGATAATCGCGCCCTGTTGGTGCATTGCTTCAACTAAAATTCATCTTTCTAATATCTTCATTATTTTGAGCTTGTAGAACCATCTTAATTAAGCTTTCCAATCTCTTTGTATCTTCCTATAACTCCATTTCTCGCCTAATTGAGTTCTATTCCAAAAAAATAATCTTCCTATAGGCACAAACATAATGGAATCGTATGGATATTGTTCGACAAAGCAATGGTAAAAAAACTGAATAAGTATCCTGTTTCCATGCTTCATCATACACGACCAAATAGAAAAAAGTTACTCCAACTCCACCATTCAATTCAACAAATCCTTCGACGAGCACCCCATTAGAACTTCCCTTTAATCGCGCCAAGTGGATAGGTAGGAAGTAACTTTTCGACCATTTCGTCCTCTACATGTTCCATCGATGTTTAGACTTGCGTTCGAAACGGAAACACTTCCCGCCGCAAATCCGACCGAAGTTTTTCCGTTCCACCGCAAATTGAATCGCTTCAACCGTTTTTAAGTGTAGTAGAAACGCGTGCAGACCTGGATAAAAGCCTCAAGCCTCAAGCAACAGTTGCAGTTAATATCCAGGTTGGGGATAAAAGCATCAACAGTTGCAGTTAATATCCAGGTTGGGGATAAAAGCATCAACTGTTGCAGTTAATATCCAGGTTGGGGATAAAAGCATCAACTGTTGCAGTTAATTATCCAGGTTGGGGATAAAAGCATCAACAGTTGCAGTTAATATCCAGGTCTGCATCGAACGGTCGCGGCATAAATGTATCGGAATCGTTTCGGCAGCCATTTCGAAGATAATCAAGAACGTAATGTTGCAGGCAGACCCAACGAGTGTCGACCCCGGAAAGCTCTCTCCAAATCGGGTAAGGCGACAGGCGCAGGGGCGCTCCATGTCGGTGCAGAGCTCCGATCCGTACGGCTCTAACACGACCCTGAGCAGCAGCCAATCGAGCGAGCTGGCCTCCTCCGACGGCAAGCATTCCTCCAACTAACATAAGGCCACCGTTGCGCCTCAACCGCCTCCTTCTATATCGGTGTCGCCGTCGCCGAAGCGTCGGCCGCCGCCGCCCCCGCCCCCTCCCCCGCCCGCCGTCACGGTGTCGTCGTCGTCGCCGTCGTCGACGCCGCAATCCTCGCCGGCTCATTCTTTTACTTTCACCATCGTGTTGAAGAAGGTTAGTCCGAAGGAGCCTCACGAGTTCTGTTCTTCGAAGGAGAACCTCGTTTAAAATGGGGGGCTTCGTTCTCTCTGGTTTTATTCGATAAACCGATTCTGTCTGTCTGAATTTCTGGATTGTTGGTCTGTTTGTTCGATATCGTTTTTGTGGCGATGAATGGAGGTTTTTGGTTGCCGAAATTGGGCTCAAAATTTACAACGATATCAATGTTGTTATACATATCTGTTTGGATCAGTATTAATTAGTAATAATTTCGAAGACGGTTTAGTAAATTTTCTTGGATTGTTATAACAGTACAATTGTTGAATTTTATATGTATAAGACTGTTTAACAAACTGATGCCAAATATATATCAAGATATACAGACAATATTATGAAAACTTTCGGATTTTTTTGCTCAAGAATTGTTCGTTGACATCACGATTTCGATTGAACTACTTTTATAGGATTATATTCCAAATAATTATCTACTCTCTTCGTGTGGTATTGATAAGAGAATGAGTCGATTGTACCAAATTAAAATTAGCCTACTTTCTCACCGCATCACCATCGAATCCTTAAACATGTGAATTAATCCTAAGTCGAATCCTTTTACGAATTGTTGAAACGTCTAGTCCTCGCGTGAATTGGTCGTAAGGTCCTTGCAAAAACCGGTGCCCTAATTATCCTTAATTGTTCCTTTTACCTTTTAGTTAACGAGGCGCAACAGTGGCATGTAACTTAATTTTATATGGTTTTATATTTTCCTACTTTAATGGACTCGCTGTATTGTATGTACATAAGTGCTTTTATAGGGAGGTTGATTTCTGCTTGAATTGTGGCAGTATTAATTTGTTCGCGTCCCTATAAATCACTTTAGTAGGATAAATTAATGTTATAATATTTCTATTGGAAGGAAAGCAGTAATTGCAAGTAACTTACAAGAGTAAACAAATAAGTGATGGGATTATTTGTTGTTCTAAAAATATGATGATTTGGAAGTTTATGAAAACTAAGGAAATACTTTTGTAAGTTGCTAATCGGAGGTATTTTTATAATCGATGTATCGCTTGTGGATGTTTTTGGTTATTTCGCTGCAATTTGATTTAAATTACGTTGATTTTTGGTAGTGGTTTAGGCAAAAAGAACATTTTCTTAAAGTTCAATTTATTTTAGTGAAATTTATTGCAGGATTTGTTCGATTTAATTAGAAAAATTCTAACCTCAATCGATTTGCTTAAACCATTACAAAACGTGCATATTTAAGTTTTTGGGGCAAATACTTTGACCAAAAAAAAAGATGTAATTAATGGACTAAGATGTGAAAAATATATGAAGTATATTTACGTTAAAAATTGTTTCATTACGAAATTATCAAACAATACAAAGAACCTGGTAAGAGACAATTTATAAAAAGAAAAATCCACCAAATGTTATTTTAAGTAGGCTGAATTAAAGGAAATACTTACATTGTACAACTTGCTATCAATATAAACATAATTCACGTTATTAACCAAATAAAACAATAAACTTAACAAACAATTCACTTTGAAACTTTCCTAACCTAACATTACACCTGTCATCTGTCATTTAACAACTTTAAACTCTTCATTTTTCTTTAAGGTCTTGAACGTAACAAGCTGTTAGCCACACGTCATTATTACAGGAATCTGTACGAAGCTGTGATAGCGGCTAACAGATGGCGCTGGTCGTTTGATATTATGGGTTTACAGGGGTCCCATAAAACTGCTTTTAACGATGTACAAACTTTATTGTTGTATCCACAAGAAAAACACGTAATTATTATTGGAATAAACAAGAAAAATCATGAGTTGAGCATTGAGCGGTTCTTTTCGGCTCTGGTTGACAGATGACAGTTGACTTCGGATCTTCTTTTTTCTAACATTCAGTACGAACTGTCAACAGCTGTTTTCGGCGACTCACACGCCCTCTCGGGGCTAGCGGCAGAGTCGTTACCGGATCAGGTGGAGCAGGAACCGCCACATCCACTCCCCCTCCAGTGACTTGCGAGGGAGCTTGCGAAGAAGACGGCGAAGGAGGCTGCGAAGAAGACGGCGAAGGAGGTTGCGAAGGAGTAAGGAACGAAACCTTCTTGGCACGGGCGTATGTTCTCGTTGGCCTGTCGATATCCGTGGTGGGGTTGATCTGCGGAGTGATTTGCTCGTCTGATCGGTTGGAGTTGTCATCAGTCTTGGTAATGTAGGCGGGCTTCAGTAGACTGGTAGAAATTGCTTTATCCTCCCCCTTAATGCGGATGATAAATACTTTGTCGTTTAGACGCTTGATGATCTCATGCGGGCCTGAATAGGGGTGTTCAAGAGGCTTTCTAACAGCCTCGATTTTTCTGAAGACGTGGCTGCAGGTATTCAGGTCCTTTAGAATGAACAGTCTGGACTTCGTGTGGTGGGCTGTCGGGGTGGGTCTTAAGGTTCGAATGTGTTCTCGAAATTTTTCTAAAAAGAACTGTGGGTCCGCTTCGGTTTCCTCCGAAATAAAAAATTCGCCCGGTATACGTAATGGGGCACCGAATAGCATCTCCGCTGGAGAAGCCTTGAGGTCTTCTTTATAAGCTGTACGCAGTCCCAGGAGAGCGGTTGGCAGAAGGTCTGGCCACGGCGTTTGAGAATTACACATTAGAGCAGCTTTTAGCGCACGGTGCCAGCGTTCAATTAAGCCATTTGCTTGCGGATGATAAGGCGACGTATGAATTCTGTTTGCTCCAATTAACTTGGCAAGGGCCCTGAAAAGTGCGGATTCAAATTGGGTCCCTTGATCTGTGGTGATTGTGAGCGGAGTTCCATATTGACAAACCCATTGGTTGTAAAAAGCTGAAGCTACAGTGTCGGCGGATATGTTAGCGAGAGGAACAGCAGCAGGCCATCTACTGAAACGATCTATCATGGTTAAACAGTAACGTAGGCCTCCGACGGTCGGTAGTTCGATCAAGTCAAGATGAACATGATCGAAGCGATTATCTGGTACGTCGATGTGCATTGGGATAGTGCGGTTATGGCGATGTACTTTCGAACGTTGGCAGGCTATGCATTGCCTAGCCCAGAGAAGAGTGTCCTTTTTAATTCCTGGCCAGACGTACCTCTCTCTGATTTGTTTGACCGTAGATCTGCCACTTGGGTGAGATGAATCGTGAACGGTTTTAAAGGCTTCCTGCCTGAGGTTGGACGGAATAAATGGACGAATGCGGCCACTGGAAACGTCGCACAGTATAGTGTGACCATCAATTGTCAGTTTCTGTAAGGTAAGCGACGTGTTTTCCAGCAGATCGGCTAACTGGTCATCGTTCCGTTGAGCGTTGGCTATTGTTTCGGCATCTAGCTTTGTGGGCATATTTATTACATTAATTCGAGAAAGCGCGTCGGCTACTACATTTTCTTCTCCCTTAGTGTAAATAATTTCAGTCGTGAATTGCGAAATGTAGTCTAATTGTCTGAGCTGTCGCGGGGAGGCTTTATCAGCGCGTTGTAAAAATGCGTAGGTCAGCGGTTTGTGGTCCGTTTGAATGACAAAAGACCTACCTTCAAGTATATAGCGGAAGAATTTGATGGAGGCAAATATTGCCAGCAACTCCCTGTCATAGGTGCTATAGCGAGTTTCTGTCTGGCTAAGTTTTCTCGAAAAGAAGGCTATTGGTAACCACTCTCCGTCCTGAAGTTGTTCAACGGCTGCACCAATTGCCGTGTCAGACGCATCCGTCTTAAGCATCAAAGGCGAGTTTGGTGCCAAAAATGGAATTCTTACGGCCTCTATGATGCCACGCTTGCAAGCCTCTAGAGCTTCCTCGGCCTCTCCTGTCCAAGGGATCGGGCGTTTGTCTTTCTTTTTGGCGTCACTCAAAAAATTGGTTAGCGGGGCCTGGAGTTTCGCAGCCCCCTTGATAGACTTGCGATAATAGTTCATCAGTCCAAGGAAACGGCGTAGGTCATTGACGGTCGCAGGTTTTGGGAAATCAACAATGGCCCGGATTCTCTCCTCCGGTGGGCGGAAACCGTCTTTGCTCACCGTATGACCCAGGTATGCCACCTCTGTCCTGCCAAATTGGCATTTTGACGGGTTGATGGTCAGTCTGTTTGCTCGTAGAATAGAAAAAACGATAGAAAGGTGTTTGAGATGATCCTCATGCGAAACGGAATGCACTATCAAGTCATCAATATAGCAACCCACGAAATCCAAACCCCTAAAAAGGTTATCCATATGCCTCTGAAAGGTTTGTGTGGCGTTACGGAGACCCATCGGCATCCCCAGGAATTCAAAAAGTCCAAATGGGGTTGTTACGGCGGTTTTCGGTACGTCGTCTGGGTTCACAGGTATTTGATGGTAAGCCCGCACCAAATCAATAGTGGAGAAGATCTTGGAGCCATGGAGTCGCTGAAGAATATCCTCGCAGTGTGGAACTGGGTAGCGGTCTGGAACAGTAAGTGAGTTTAAGCTTCTATAATCCCCGGTGGTACGCCAGCCGCCAAGTTTCTTTGGTACCATATGAATCGGGCTGGCCCACTGGCTACTGGAGGGACGGATAATTCCATGGAGTAGTAACATGTCGAGGTCTTCTCTCGCTATTTTTAGTTTGTCGCCAGTTAGCCTGCGGAATCTTTCAAAAACTGGTGGTCCTTTTGTGATGATATGATGAGCCACAGAGCTATCTGCGCAGGTGGTGGGTGCAGCGTTAGGTCTAGTTATATCGATGTAGTCGTTCAGTAAATCTGTGTAAGGTTTGTATTCCACAGAAGAGGAATTAATTTGGTCGATTGTCGAAACACTATGTACTGCTGCCTGGAAAATTTGGCCCTTTGTGGTGAAAGAGGTGATCGGGTCTATGAGTCGACCACCCTTCAAGTCCAAGAGTAAGGCATGATAAGTGAGGAAATCCGCACCAATGATGGCAGATTGCACGTCAGCGATAATGAAGGACCATTTGAATGCCCGTCGTAAACCGAAGTCAAGAGTTAATGTTTTTTGACCGTAAGTATGAATCGTTGTACCATTTGCAGCGTACAGAAGAACGTCATCCTGCTTTAGCCTTGTATTAAAAGATGATTTTGGAACCAATGATATCACCGACCCAGAATCAATAAGAAATCTCATATTCGTTTTTTTATCGTGGAGGTGAAGACGGTGTTCCTGTTTCAGGATGTTGTTATTGCTGTCGCCAACCGCCTGAATTGACGACAGCTTTTTTAGTTTTCCGGCTGAGGTTGCGGTACGAAGGAGCACGGTTGTGTACACATGTTGGCTCTCTCCTTGAATCTGCGGTGATAATAGCATATACGACTGGGAGCTGGTGATGCAGGTCTGGAGCTTGCACGGCTGTAACTGCGGCCTCTTTGATTCCGAAAGTCAGCACGTTCTTTGGTTAGCGAAATGAGCTCCGATAATGAGAGTTTAATCGCCGCCATGTCCTGAGCTAGATTGTTCAAAATTGAAGTTGTAAATCCATTGCTGGGTGAATATGATCGATTATCGGCCCTGCTGGTAGACATTACATAAGAACCTGATTGAGTTTCCAATAGCTCATCTGCGAATCTGGCTTGCTCGTCCAGCGTTGTCGAACGAAGGATTTTTAAAAGTTTTTGAGTGCTTGGGGGAAGCAATGCCAACCAACGCACGCGTAGTACGTCTTCAGTTGCTCGGTCACCCGCCAAGGCTGTCATTTGTCGAAGAAGCTGGCTCGGTTTCTTATCTCCGAGTTGCAATTCTGTTAAAGCTTTATGCAGCTGTCGATCAGCTGAATCGGTGAATCTGTTGATGATTTCAGATTTTAAATGATCGTATTTGTTCGTCCTGGGAGGATTCCTTAAAACATCCGATACCTCTATCATCGTCTCAGCATCTAACGCCGTGATAAGCTGATTATATTTAGCACCGTCCGAAATGATTTTGTTGCATTGAAATTGTGCTTCAATTTGTATAAACCACATGTTAGGATGATTCTTCCAAAAAGGAGGCAGTCTGCAGGTAGCTACAGCGTCGACATTCATAGAAGGTACGTACGAACTCAAAAGTAGTGGTTCGCCTATTAAGCTTTGATTGTGACCTTGTGCTTGCTCTCCCGGGTTTGTGTTTGAGGCAGGAAGAAACGGGCAGTCATCCTCCGGAACAGGATCTGCTTGTTGTTCGCGAGACATAATTATTGTTTCACTCGAATCTGTAAATTTGCGTATAAGTTTAGTTGTTCGAGACAAAAATAAAAAAAGGTATATAAGTTCTTGTTTGCAGTACGAAGCGGCTGGAGTGGGCCAATTGACCGGCACACGATGCACACTATTGCACGAAATTGTTATAGTTTTGTCTTGTTTGTAGCACGTGGCACGTCACAGGTCAACACGTATTTTAGAGTTTCTAAGTTCTTTCGGGGTCACCAATTATGGGTTTACAGGGGTCCCATAAAACTGCTTTTAACGATGTACAAACTTTATTGTTGTATCCACAAGAAAAACACGTAATTATTATTGGAATAAACAAGAAAAATCATGAGTTGAGCATTGAGCGGTTCTTTTCGGCTCTGGTTGACAGATGACAGTTGACTTCGGATCTTCTTTTTTCTAACATTCAGTACGAACTGTCAACAGCTGTTTTCGGCGACTCACACGCCCTCTCGGGGCTAGCGGCAGAGTCGTTACCGGATCAGGTGGAGCAGGAACCGCCACAATATTAAACGAGAACATCGGCAAATAAATCACGTGCTTTTCGGTGTCGGTTTGGGCGCGAAATTGGCGGCCTTCGTATCAGGCGAACATGTCTCGACGGGGATGCCGACTTGCGGCCGTTCGAGGAACGCGCTCGACTCGATAACGAACCGGTTCGTTCATGTTCTCCTGATCGGAGCGGCTTCGATTTGGTAACTTCGTCGTCGCGTAGTTGTTGGGTTTCGTTTGTTTATATCGATAGGTCGTCAATGCTGCCAACGTGGGACGTCGGATGTGACGTATGACGGGTTGTCATCGGGTTTTTTTTTTCGATAAGTTATTTTTTGCGTGGGTTTTACGGGATAGTGAAAGTAGTCGTGTTAAAAGCAATCTTTTATTTATTTATACTGTGTACAATTTGAAATATATAATCCTAATTAATGTAATTGTCAACAAACGAAATAAATTTTGGTTCCGTTTTTTTTTTAGTAGATAATTATTTCTTTTTTTTTTAATATGAAGCAAATTTGCGTTCATTTAATCAAAATAGTATTTTTATGGGTTCGAACCAATAATTTATTTCTATTAGATTCCAATGATTATAATCACAACGAATAATTTTCTATCTATTTTATTTTATTTTTGTGCTGCTTTTTAAAAGATAACATTATATTAATTAAAACGAGTTCATTCTTCTCAATCGACGTTATTTTCGGCAAAAAATATCGTAATATCCCTATTTTATTTTCTATACACCTTTTATACAGAGTATTATTTATCACAATATCGATATAACAATAAACGGTCTTCAGCTTCAATAAATGATATTCTAAAATATCCCGTGTTGATAAAAAATAAACTGTTAACGAGAATTGAGAAGTATGCACAAATATTGCTATTACTTGTACAGTGTGAATTACTTACAGACTATTTAGCGATTACAAAGTTATTGGAATAAAATGCATTATATTAGAAAAAATATTTTTTGCTCCAATTTCATTGGAAAGCGCCACAAAATTTTTTCCAGGCGAAATATCGCGGACTTGGAAAAGGATTCCGATAGGTACTCTATTAGAAATTCGAAAAAACCACAAAATAAATAATTATTGTCATTTTTTCGTCAATAATTCTTTGCCTACTTAGGTAAACCCCCTAATAGTTATCGCTGAAAATGGAAATATCACCTACTTTATATACTTAACGAATTATGTAATTGATTTGTTTTTTTTTTAATACTATATAAGATATTTTTATCTTCATCAATAAATACGCGCATTATTGCTAAATTTGGTGTTTTTAGTTTCGGCATTTCATCCGCAATAACTTTAACGAGACAATCGCCATTTTAGAAATAAATTTTTTCCATAACATACATCGTAAGATTGCGAAACACCACATATTTTTCGAATTAATCTATAATATTCTACATTTATGTTTAGTATAACTACTTATGCGGGGCCTTTCGAAAAACCCGCCAGTGCCTAACTAAAAAATCCAAGTTAAGTTGGCAACAATGAATTTATATAAGTTGGTTGTACTGCATTTTATTTTTTCATATAGAATAGAGCGATTTTTCCGAAACGCGCCGCATAAAATATATCGAACTACTCAAATCTCACTTGTTTGCATCGTTCACAAATTTGATGCAATTTTCTTTTAATTAATTACAGTTAATAGATGAAAGATATTTCAAATTGAATTGACACTTATAAACGTGAAGTATATTCTGGTGGCAGACGGCGCGACCGAACCCGAAACGCTCAATTTTGCCCACAAATTGGTCAAATTTTCCAATCATTTGAAACTCCCTCAAAGAGTTGTAATGGTAAAGAAAGAAGAGAATCGAATAACATTTTGGATTCCGACGCGCCACTAATGATTTAAGTCTTTCAAAAAATAGATTTCTAATCCAAAAAATGCTAAGCTAATATTTGAATGTATAAAATTATCTACATATCTATATATCCGTATATACAGGGCGTTTCGAGCGAACGTGGGATATGTCTCTACTCAGCGACACAATCGAAGGATATTTTACAATCAAATTGAGCAATTTGAAGTTGGAATATCGGAGAAGATCAGACAAATTAAACGAGGTATTTTCGAATGAACCGAAAAGGGTAATTAAATATTTTTCATCGTCGCTCAGTACAAAAAATCCCGCCAGTTTCACCAGCAAACGCCGCTGTTTACACGCCGAAAAACCGACGAAAAATGTATGTTCATTATTACAGAGATCCTTGAAAGCCTACGAGAATAACAAATTTAACCAAAAGTGAAACTCGATACGAATTCAGGAGGTGGAATTTCATTCAGCGGAAGACCATGTATAAATTTTTCTTTACAACAACGATAAGAAAATCTACGATTTAGCCGGTAACATTTCGAAATTATCCGCTAATTTTCCGCCTGTTTTGAATAAAATAACGCGACAATTTCGAAATGTTAGCGAACAAAAATCAACCGCAAGAACACAGTACCCGTTAGGTATTAACAGTTCATTAAAATATCAAGATAGAAATTTAATTTCAAATAACAGGTACTTAATGTAAGGTATTAGGTACTGTTTTCTCTATATTTTTTTACAGTTTAGGCCTCTCGACGCTACTGATTGTAAATACACGAAATTTTGTAGAAATTTACTCCTTCTAAAACCTAACAAATCGTCAAGATAACGCCAGTTGTAATCGAACGTGCCGTTAACTAATTCGTTATTTAAACAGGTCGTTAAATCGCAACACATTTAATTCATTGACTAATTGATTGTTGAAATTAAATTCGCACAACTGAAGTCGCGAGACGATTTTGCATCGGAGATTTAATTTAATGGGTAATTCATACAAAAACTAATTAATTACAACTCGATTTTGCGGTAAATAGAGAACAACCATTTAATCGATTGCGGAAAAAATGGAAAGTCCTTCGTTAAATGCCAGAAAAATAGGCGCCCCAGTCTTAGGAAACGCTACAGATTCATTTATACATTACTAATTAATTAAACATAGTTCGATTGGGGGACTTTTCCGGCTCTACCAGACGAATTAAAAGAGCGCCGAATTTTCATAGAAAGCCGGAAAAATCCGGCGGATCGAACGAACTAACGCAAGTTAAAAATTTTCCTCGAATATCACATGAAAGAACAGAAGTTTGTTTTTTTTTTATTGCGAACAAGAATATGACTTAAAACATTTTTTTTTTCATTTATAGCTCTCTATATTACAGCTTGACTAGGTAAATTCACTACGACTAGATAATTTACAATTTTTTTTTTGTTATTCGAACTGAATACACCACGTTGTCGTGATATACTAATCCTTCTAATAGTAGTAAATAACAGAAAATCCTGAAATAAAGTTACGGGGGGAGATGAATTAATTTGTTAGAATGGTTATAGGGTTTACTTACCGATGAAAATTTACACCAATCCAAGGTATCCTCCGATAGTACAAGTGATAATTATTGCCAAGATTGTTAAACAGATTAAAATCATAATTTTCTTCTGAAAATTGACCAAACACATAAATTATATTAGCATCTTCTTCTACATTAAACTATACTACACAATGTGCCTTTGTCACGCCGATTGTATCAAAAAAATATGTAGTGTCAGTGTTGGAATATTTATGTATATGTAGTGCATTGGTATTTCTATCTAATGTGTGGTTATTGGTATTTGTGTTGGTATTGCATCGACTGGATTTTACCTACAAAAAACAAATAAAATTGGAGGAATTTTACAGATGCGCCTTAATAAGGTGTTTTTCTACTGAAATTGTTGCTCTTTTTCACATTGTTTTCACCAAAACCCAATCCTACCTTCATCCTGTTTGTAGCTACCCAACAACAACAAAAATTGATCACCCTGTATACAATTAAGAAAGTTTATCTTCACTCGCGATTAGTTTTACAGCAAACTGTAAACCTCCAGTGTTACCAAACTCTCTGTACTTATCAGTTCACCGCGTAGATGGCGACACTTACGCTCCACTATCGTTTTCTCATACAATACACTACATTCGAAGGGAATATCGGCGTTGTAAAACCGATCCTTCTGATTGTTCAGATGAGAGATGATGATCGGTTTACTCAGGATCGAATTCCTGAAGCCTGCAGCCTTTTTTTGTTACGACTGGGCAGGCTGGTACTTCGCTGATCTCATCTGGACATCTCTCGCGGAAGGATCGATTTTTAATACTTACTGTTTAGAGTATTTTGATTTAGATGAGTGGAATCTGGAAGGGTACTTACTTAAATTCCGGGTACCATTTCGTAAATCATCGTCGCCCCTATCACGAGTAGTATCGAAACGCATACTATAATCATAATTTGTTTCTAAAAAAGCAAAAACGTGTAAGGTGTAGGTGCTGTAAAATTTTAGTAAAGTGCTGTTGAGTTAAATTAAAACGAAAAATATAAAAAAAAAGTAATTTTAATAGTGTGCAAATCATAAATAATAATATATAAATAAAAATAATCGTACAATTTCAAATTATATATACATAATAATAAAAAGTTTTACGTGTGTTTTCTTTGGTAGTGTTTAACACAGTTTTCATAGATCAATTGTATAAATTAGAAAAAAAAACAAATATATACAAATGTAATTGCGAATATTTATAAAAAAAATAATAAGTTTATAGTGAAATTGGTATATTAGGTAGGCTTCAGACAAGCGAGTTTATAAATCAAATTCACACCCCCCGATTTACCATCGAAAGCTGTAAAATACAATAAAAATTTCCAAGAGAATTCGAAAAAAAATTCGAATTTCCCAACCAGTTTTCACCGAACAATAAAACAGTGAAACCTAAATAAATGCGCAAGCTTAATAAATTTATCCAAAAAAACTCGAATTGTTCTACTCAACTACAACATACAGGGCGGTTCATAAAATACACATTAAATACTCTAAAATATCTCCGTCTATTTTATGAACACCCCGTATAAAAGCCTACGTTTCAGCGATATGGAAGAACGAGATAACGAAAAAAAAAAAAACCTGATGAAATCACGAGTTACAAAATTACTTCACAATATTGTTTTATTACAAAAAAAAAAGAGGAAGGAAATCGTACACTGGTCTCTGAGACATCTACAATTCAAATTAATTACCGTCGAATTTCGAAAATTCCGGAGAATAATTACAATTTTCTATATCTATATGATACACTTATGTACAGATTGATTCAGAAAAAGTTGCGTGTGGTTAGTAAATAGCATTTATCCTATAATAATAATTTTAATTAAAAAAAAAACAAGTAGAATAGGCAAGTATGATGCGTTTATTTTTTATACGAGGGTAAATCGATTATTATTTGCTTATAGAATCAAGGATAACGCGACTTTTTATCGAATCATTCTGCGAATAATTAAAATATTTACATTTAACACATATTGCACATATTTCACCAACTTTAATATCCCGTTGGAGTTTGATAGATTTTTTTTTTGATAAATTTCCGCCTTTCCTTATCCTTATTACTGAGTATCCGAAAGAAATCTCGATATTTATATATACTTTTTTTCGGTCTTTCATTGCTTTTGTGCATTCTCGCCCAGCCCTTTTTTTCATCTCCCATGGCCCTCGTTTGATAAAATCGATACAAAAAGGTTATTGTTAAAATTAACGACCGTTTTTTTTTAATACCCTGTACGAAGTAATCTCATAAAAAAATAACAAAAAAAATCAGGTGATGTGGTGTGTTTGGAAGAAATGCGTTAGAAAAATATAACGTAAATAAACTAAATCTAAAAAAAAAAAACTAGGATGGATACCGGAGTTGGATGGTGTATTAAAAAAATATCCTACTAGTCCGTCTATCCCGGTTTCATTTAAAATACTCATTTCCTAGAAAATAAATTTACCTTTTTTAGAGTCAACAACGCGCGCCCGGTTCGAATCCACATCGCGAGCCAAATAATAAACGTGCAGATAGATTCATTTTGCATATTAAACACATCCAAAATCGCCATTAAATAGCCATTTTATTAAAATAAAAACACCTTATTTTATGGCCCGCGATCGAAAGATAGAGCATGCTCAAATGGCCGATTATTTCATTTTTTCTCTCTTTGATATTTACCGTTCAACTTACAATGATACTGCTAATGCTATAACAAGAATGATGAGACATACTACGAGGCAGATTATGATGAAGATCTTTTTCTGAAAAAAGAAACAAACGAAAAACGATGTAAATAAAAGAAAAACCGAAAACGGAAAATAAAACGGAACAACAGGGTTCGTGTATCGGGTAAAATTACAAGGTGCTCCTAAATTTTATATTCCAATTAAATTGCCATTTAAAACTAATTCGATTGGAACAATCTGTGATATTTACAAAACGAACCCTGTTCGAATATAAATAATGAAGTGGTTGTAATAAAAAAAAACATAAATGAACAAATCTACAACCACTTTATTACTTTAGAAAATAACATAATTAAAAATAACAGCTTCTAAGCGACTAAACACCAAAAGCGACATCTATTCATTGACAAAAAAAAAGGATGAAGACTAATTTACTAGCATTTGAAGAATTAGAGAATTTACCTTCGCATAATAACAATTTATAATTGTTTATAAATATATTTATAACTGAGTTGGTAAATGCCTGAAAGTACACTCGTTTAGTATCCTCCCGCCCTGTACTATATTTCAATTTAAATTAAAATAATTTTTTCATTTAAGATTAAAAAAAAACGCCCCGTATATCAATGTTTTTGATTTCCTTAATGACAACTTTGACAGTTCGAAATTTTTTCATCGCCGCTGTCATTAGTGTAAGTTTTTTTAGAATTATTTGATCGTTTCTCGATTTTTAGTAAGTACAAATGATCTAAAAATATATATTTTTGCGAATTATCTCAATTTCTTTTATTTTCTTCCATTAAAAGCGACGAAATTGTCTAAATAACGAAAAATTCTCTCGTTTCGGTGTAGTTCCGTTCAAACCAAACGAACGGACAACATCCGTCAATTAATTTATTTACACATCTGTCAAAAATTTTACATTTAATTTCGATTTACGAAAAAAATAAACGAATTTAGCCGGCGAAAAGAGGCCGCGATCATCGTTAAAACGCTCCAACCCGGTTCTAATGCGGATTCAGAGCCTCAAAACGCCTTCATCCACCAACTCGACCATTCTCTAATTCTCCACCTGGAATTCCTTACCTTTCTGGCCTTCGTTTGGTAGCTCTCCGCTTGCTTGAGCTGGCTACGACCTTCTTGCACGTGAATTTGCGTGCTGTCCACGTGGAACGCGATCGTGTCTACCAATTCGCCCTAATCGAAGGGTAAAAAAGGGGGGCGGAGGCAAAGAAGGGGGCGGTTTGTGTCGAGAAGGGATTTAAGACAGTAGTAAACACACGCATCACAACAATATCGTATGTACAAAAATATAAAATAAAAACGATAAAACGCACAATTAAACACCAGTTAGTGACAAATAGGCACATGTAAGTAGTTAGTTGTTAATTAAAAAAAAAATACGGAGGGTGCAAGCGATATATATAAATGTCCAATAAATAGAGAATCGGTACGGGGTAAGTAATAGGGCGGGAATAAAAACAAAAAAAAAACAATAAGTAAATGTAAACGAAATGAACCATTTAACATAGAAGCGATCTTAAAACGACGGTTATGTAGTAATAATAATAATAATAATAAAAATAGGGTATTAAAAAGGCTGTATTAACTCACCCGCCTGGCGCGGCTTTGGTACCGTAGAGCCTTTTTAGTGTCTTGCGTGGCCGTTTGCACGTAATCCACGGCGTGCTCGACATGGTACTCGATACGATCGATCATCTCGCCCTGTAAATCCCAGCGGTTACGGAAAATGTTACGGTTAATCGTTTTAAAAAAAATAGAATAGAGTATAGACCGCATGCAATTTTTATCCACCGATTGTTAATGGGTTCTATTAGTACCTATTCGAAAAGGTTCTACGCACGCAAATCGACTAAACCTAGGTTTCTTCTTCTTTTTCTTCGCATGGCCTCTTGCGTTATGTCGCATCCGGCCAGCTTAGAAACCTAGGTTTAGTCGTACTTTTACCCGTAACATACATGAGACAAGTGGATGAATGTGTTGCGGACTTGTGGAAATAAAAACCTTTCGATTTATTAGGTAAATTCTAGTTCTCTAATATCTAGTCTAGTTCTGATTGAGTTCAAGATGATTTCTACGGTTTAGAGAGGTCGTGTAAGCGAGGGAACTTTTAGTAACGATGAATTTGAAATCCCAGATAACAGATAATTATTATATCGCATGCTAGTTTTAGTGAGAAGTAAATTTTCCGCTGGGAAAACACAGGCTAATATCGTAATAAATAATATCGCACATTTGCTCATAGAATTAGAATGATTCGTCGTTTAATATCTTCTTCTGGATAACTAATCGTTTATGAATTTTCAATCACCGACAATTCCAATGTTTTCGTTCGATATTGAACAAATACACTAAGACAAAAAGATTCTAAAACAGATTTAGAACTTTCAACGAACGAAAACACTAGATAGATCGGGTTTTAAAACGCGATTGATAAATACGAATCGAAAATTACCTGATTCTCCACCAGCATCGCCATATCCATGAACATGTCGTGCAATTCTCTAATTGAATTTTCTAACTTGATTATATCGGCGTGTCGCGCTTCGATATCCGCCAACGTTTGCTTGGCTTGCTGAGTTTCCATTATAATCTTACAAAACAAGAACAATACGTTTTAAACTAAAACTTTAGAAATAATCGATTCGTTTTAAAGCTTTTTCAGGAGCTTTCTTTTCGAATAATCTAAAGCTACTTACCCCTTGGGTAAACACCGCAGGGTTTCCCTGTTCTAACATCTCTTCTAGCTCCTCGTTAGTCGTTTGTCTACCCGCTAGAAATGTACAAAAAAAAATATCATCATTAATATCTAATCAAGAGATAATTGGAGTGATAACTTACTGATTTCTAATTGTCTTTGTATCCTCCCTTTACATCGTTCTCTGTAGTCCGTTTGCGTTCGGTTGTATTCAGTCATTACTTCGACGAACTTCCTCGATAACGTGGAATGTTGGGTCTTTCGTATCCTCAAATCGGCCGACGATTTCGTATTTTGTTCTTCTTGTTCTATCTTTTGTTCTATAACTGTAAGCGGAATTTATTTCGTGTTATGTTAATCGGGCATATTCGATCGCTCACCCTTTAGCTTGGCACGGACTTTGTTGGCAGTTTTCTTGATATCGGCCATCAGGTCTTCCAGTTCTTGTTTCGTTTCTGCAAATATTTCAAAATACATTAAAAAACTATCTATAAAATTACTTTGTTTTTTATGTAATTATCAATTTTTCCGATTTCCTTAATGAAAAAACACCCTGTAGGTCAAATTAAATGTCAAATGTCAACGTATCCCGTAGTAACGGAAATGACAACTTTGACAGTTCGAAATTTGTTCATCGCCGCTGTCATTAGTGTAGGTTTTTTTAACAACACTTTAATCTTTTCTCCGTTTTTGGTAAGTACAAATGACCGAGAAATATATATTTTTGCGAATTATTTCAATTCCTATTATTCTCGTCCATTAAAAGCTATGAAATTATCTAAATAACGAAAAATTCTCTCGTTTCGGTGTAGTTCCGTTTAAACCAAACGAACGGGCAACATCCGTCAAATAATTTATTTGGAGATCTGTCAAAAATTTTACTTTTAATTTCGATTTACGAAAAAAAAAAAACGAATTTAGCCAGCGAATTTTCGTAATCAGCTATTCTATGAGTTAAACAAAGAAAGATTATTAAAATAACAGTGGTTAAAGTGAGAAAGTTGTAATCCGATCAATATCACTTTCTTTTTCCTTTATATGAGACTAATAGAAGTCGTCTTTGTTGCACCTGTAGCCTATATCGCAAACAATTTTGCATCTAAAACTAGATAACTTTAAAATATTTCCATTTCTACCAACTATCCAATAGCAATCCTGTTGAATGACAAGACGAATGACGTGCGAATGACATAAATAAGAAGAAATCCAAAGACACATTTCAAAATGGCACGTTAAAGTTAAAATCATCCCAAATAATTTATCGATTTTCGAGGAAAATTAACACATGAAATGCGGCGGTGCAATGTGGCCTGTCAATGTTCCCTCGGTTGTCCCTACCACGAATCGAGATCGAGCCGAGGTGCAACCGGTGACTGGTTTTCGTTCTTAAATTTCATAGACCAAAAGTACCTGATATGTGCCGCCATTGTTATATTAGCCCTGTTGTGTTACTTCTACTTTTCGAGCAGTTCCGACGAAAGCGAAATGATTTGCAACAGAAGAAGCTAAACGGTTGTTTAACAAACGTACCTCGTATAATGTAACAATTACTAATATTTTTATGTGCAAGTTTTCCTATAATCGTCCATTACACTTTTTAACTGTACCTTATTGTTTGTTCTATGCAAAAAAAACGAACCATATTACTTGTCAACCTCTACATTGCGATTATCAAAGTTGTCATATTGCAAAAATTCTGACAATGCGGCAGTAGGAAAGTCGAAAGTTTTCCTCTTACACATTTCCAAATTGTTTGTGTGTGTTTTTTTTTTGGATTATTTCTCCGGCGCAAAATGGATTACGATGACCAATGCACTTGTAGAAGTTTGGAGTCCAAAGGTCCCTTTTTGGTGGCCTTGTCCGCTCTGGTAGCTGCTCTAATAGCCACTTTTTTCCTCTATTTGGAGCACAACAAGAATACAGAGAATCACGGCAGCTCCAGATCGCTGTTGAATTGCTTAGAAGGCGACGAATGAAACGGTTTTGCGCTTGTATATAATTCGTTTTGTACTGGGTAGAAAAGTAAATTTATTCGATGATGTTTTGCGTGTTTTATGAGGAAGTGAGTATTGTTTAACGAGTTTATTTTAGTGCTCTATATGTGTCTTTAAATGAAAATTATCTTACTCTCATCGCTCTGAGGTGCGGATAAAATAGCACTGTGCTTTTTCTTCACTTCTTCCACATTAGCTTGTATTTTATCCACCATGTCTCGTATTTCTTCCACCTGGAAATATTGGAGAATTTAGATATTTATTCATAATTGTGGCCCTTCAATGGATTACACAAGCAATTTTGCAAAATAAAGGTAATCAATAGGAATTTTATTTAGGTCATAATATCGAATTGTTTAACAAAAATGGTAAAACCGAATCAGAGAATAAAAATTGTTAATTATTCAACATTACTCAAGTTTCATCCCAAGTAAATTTGTTTAGGTAATGAATTATTATTATAACCCAAGGTTGCCAGTTATGAATATTAAATATCATTAGTGAGAAATTTGTTGGGAAAAAAATACAATGTATCACGAGGTTTTAGTAACTTAAGATAAAAATTTTTATTGATAACATTAATTTTTAATCTAGCGAATTTTCACGACAACCGGCAACATTGTTAATTGTTGTGACTCTTTGAAAGAAATTAATTGGAATGAAGTCGGGAAGACGGGATGATGACTAATCTAGTAAACGTCTGTTTTATGTCTATCGTAAATGACGTAACTGTCAAAAAATGAGAATGGAAGAGGATTGATTAAAAAATTTGATACAAACCTCCCCGAAAAAGGCCTCCATGAAGCCGTCTCTGCCTTCGACGTTGACGGCGACATCGTCGGGGCCGACATCATCATCATCGCTTTGGGCCTGAAATCGGAATTTATTTAAATTCGATTTAAAAAAATACTCATCGAAATTTTTGACAAGTACAGAGGTGGGGCAAATGCATGACATTTAAATAACAGTTTTTCACCCACCTAACCTAATTGTTCGTATTTCACCTAAACTACCGTTGGAAATTAGACATGCCCGTTATTAATTACGTCCAATTATTAATAGTAATTAGCAGAGTGGGCTGTCATTAAACGCAAACGTGAATTTCGACTGTTTTTTTTCCAATTAAACTTTACGAGCGATACATCAATAAGATAGTGGAAGAGATTCGGGACCTACCGCAACAAGAGCTGCTAATCTATCCTTTGTCATTTTAATCCAGTATGAGTATCACAAAACGCCGAAAATTCGAGTTTCACGAAATAATCCCATTCACACTGTTAATATAAATACGAGCACGACTACCGAGAAAACTTGAAGCAAGCGACCGACCACCAGTTTTCCACATAAAAATCGATAGAGTTCTGCAGTACGGATACCCGGAAGCGCATGCGCCGATGACGTACGATTTTCGCGTGACGTCACAGAAAGATTTCAACATTTATTCGCTATTTACTCGCGAATAATAACTGCGTTTGAATTTTGAGTGTCAAAAATATTTTAGAGGAATTATTTGCGTTTTTCTCGTACCGGCGATTCGGATAAACTCCCGTTATTAGGAAATTTCAACGGCGCACAATCGACACCTTCTCGTATGTTCTTGTGAACGCCATTGTGAACTCTAACGACATTGTCGAGGAAACTAATCGGCGAAAATTTGTGCCATCGTTCGATTTGTAGCGTTTATTTTAAAGCGGTAAGTATTATTTCCGTCGTAGATTAGTTCTCGTTTATAATTTTTTCGATTTGCTCGATCGTTGCGAATATAATCGACCCTAAAGCCGGTATACTAATACCAAAATCGTTTGTAACGATATCGAAAACGCCATTCGACATCAAAATTAAAAAGTTTTGAAACGTGCTTCGAAAGCGCACTCGTATCGCGTTTAAATACGCGGGAAACGATCCACTCATCGTTTTGTTCTTATATTTTAGGTGTAATTCTACTCGAAAATAGCCATGGCAGCGAAAGACATGCCCACATTCAAATGCGTCCTAGTCGGCGACGGTGGTACCGGCAAAACGACCTTCGTCAAGCGCCACATGACCGGCGAATTCGAGAAAAAGTACGTCGCCACATTGGGCGTCGAAGTGCACCCTTTAGTGTTCACAACGAACAGAGGTAAAATCTGTTTCAACGTGTGGGATACGGCGGGCCAGGAGAAATTCGGCGGCCTCAGAGACGGTTATTACATTCAGGGACAATGTGCCATTATTATGTTCGACGTCACGTCCAGGGTTACCTACAAAAACGTCCCCAATTGGCACAGGGACATTGTCAGGGTGTGCGAAAACATACCGATCGTACTGTGCGGAAACAAGGTCGACATCAAGGATAGGAAGGTTAAGGCTAAAAGTATCGTGTTCCATAGAAAGAAGAATCTTCAGGTTTGTTACCTTTACTTAGATTATTTCCTTTAAACCTTAACCGGTTCGTTCATTCTAAATTTACTCGTATTGTTTACAATACGTTGGGTTATTTACCAATAACCTGTAGGTTATTAGATAACCTTATAAAGGTAGAAAGAAGTGACAATTATGACAACAGATTAGTGACAGATGACACAATCGTACAATTTATTAATTGTTTAATATTTACAGTATTACGACATATCTGCAAAATCGAACTACAACTTCGAGAAGCCCTTCTTGTGGCTGGCGAGGAAACTGATCGGCGATCCCAATTTAGATTTCGTGGCGGAATCGGCCCTGTTGCCTCCGGAAGTGCAAATGGACCCGCAGTGGCAACAACAGTTGGAGAAGGATTTGAAAGAGGCTTCGGAAACGGCCCTGCCAGATGACGATGAGGATTTGTAAATGTATGTTTAGAAGTTAAATTACATTGTAAAAATATATACAAGACGAAAACAAGACTTATGTTAAATTTATCGGTGTGCATACTTTGAGGAACTGTTGGTATTTTTATATCTGTTTTTTCGAAATTTGTTAAAATTAGCTTAATATAAGATGCTTTGAATTTGAATGGAATGCTTGAAAGATGAGATTTTTTGTAATTTAGACAGTTTCTATTTATTGTCAACTAGACCATAATTTTAATTTTAATAAAATTACATTTTTTCTATATGTTTATATCATTCTGTGTAAGTTGAATAAAATTGTGAATCCATTATTATTGTATCCGAAGAATTCTAATTTCCTTTGTATTTAAAGCCAAATTTTACTAAATAAAAATGCGCCCCTTGAAAATTATCGTTCCTCAAGTAGGTATATCCTTTATAAACTAAACGTACTCGGGCGTTATCTAATTTTATATTCGAAATTTATTTGCCATTCCTTGGTAATATTTGTTAACCTTTGGATAGGACCCAGATGCAGAAACAGTGTTGTTGTAACGGCTCAAATAATATGTCTTAAGTTAGTTTTATTTTTTTAAGGTTGAACAATAGTTTTATAATTGACAAAATAATATAGTTATATACAACAAATTCACTTTTAACCATTAATTAAACAACTAAGAACTCGTGGTAATACAATTATATTCAACAATTCTCCCTTACTGTCGTTACGTATTGCATACTTAGTACCTAAAAGAAATTGTATAATTATTTATTTGCGCAGTTAAATAAATTAACAATACTTACCACGAGGTAATTCAAACGAATCGAATTGCTTGATTTTTACGTTTGTGCCGTTTACGATAAGTGTACCGTGTCCCCTCCTCACAATAAGAGACTGCAATTCAAGGAGTAGTTCAAAACAAAACATCGAACGTAATATAAAAATAAAACTCACCCAATTTTCTTCCACGGCCGAGCTGGAAATCATTTCACCGGGTTTCAAATTATACCTGCTACGGTCAGTTGAATTAGACAAGCCGGAACTCCCTGCATCACGTTCGGTCACGTCCATATATACATTATTTCTGGAATAAGTTTACTTAGAATTAAGTTTATAGTCGATTGAATAAACTTACTCTGTTACGGATGGGCCGGGGTCTTCGGAAACTCTTTCATTCTGCACCTCATTACCTGCATCTTCGGTGGTTTCATCGGAAATCTTCTGCGCCTTAGATTTATTCTTATTCGTTTTAGTAACAGATTTATTCTTATTCGTTTTAGTAACAGATTTCTTCGGTTTCGCTTGAGTTACTCTTTTAACCGCTGGTTTCTTAAAGAGAACCGTTTCATCTTCTTGGTACGCACTTTTTTGACAAAACTCTAGAAACATTTTATTAAAAATAAATCGATTATTCATTAAAAATATACTTACTCCCTCCCTTATATACAAAATTAAAAAGATTGTCATAAACCTTCGCAGGTGGTGGTCTTCTGTTTCTTACGGGCCTGCCATTATTTGTAACTGTAAAAAAAATGGAATTAGCAAAGCGAATTAATTAAATACGGAAAACTTACCTTCTTGTGGCGCTAAATCGATTCCATCAAATGTTTTACGCAATCCAGTTCGTTTTATTTTTTTGATAGTTCTTCTTGACGGACCAGCAATTTCTGATTGTTCCTCGTTATGTTCCCTTATTGTTTCGAGCATCGAAGAAGTCGTTTGTTCCGATATCGAAACGATCTGCTTCGAACGATGAGCCCTTTCGCAATCCAAAGAATCCGATTCTTTATCGTTTGGAACGTTACTCTTATTTCGAACTGAATTCTCGCCATTTCTACGCTTCGAGGTCGGCTTCGAAACAGTGTGATCGTTATTATCCTCATGAGGATTCAAATTTTCCGTTTCTTTGCGTAGGTCGTTGATAGCTTTAATGTGTACACGTAGAGACCTCCTGGTAATGTTGGAATTTTCCATTTCTGATCCGTTATTTGTACTTTTATCCTTTTCGTGTACAGACTTTCTGCTATTGCTAAGCTTCGAGGTTGATTTGGGATCTGTATTAACTCTATTATCATCAACCTGATTAACGATTTCATGATCTGATTCGTTATTTGTACGTTTATCCTTTTCGTGTACAGACTTTCTGCTATTGCTAAGCTTCGAGATTGATTTGGGATCTGTATTAACTCTATTATCATCAACCTGATCAACCATTTCATGATCTGAATCGTTATTTGTACGTTTTGCGCTTTTGTGTACAGATTTTCTGCCATTAAGAAGCTTCGAGGGCGATTTTGTAACTCCGTTAACATTCGAGTACTCATCACCATCCTCACCGGTACTCAAATTCTCCATTTCTTGCTCTGTGTTATTAATAACATTAGTTTCTACATGTAGAGACGTCCTGTTATTGTTATAATTTTCCATTACTGATGCATTATTTGTGTGTTTATTATCTTTCTTGTGTCCAGACTTTCTGCCATTGCTAAGCTTCGAGGTTGATTTGGGATCTGTATTAACTCTACTATCATCAACCTGATCAACCATTTCATGATTTGAATCGTTATTTGTATGTTTACCTCTTTTGTGTACAGACTTTCTGCCATTGCTGAGCTTCGAGGTCGATTTTGTAACTCCTTTAACTTTCAAGTACTCATCATCCTCCTCATCATTACCCAAATTTTCCATATCTTGATCTGGGTCGTTAATAACACTAGTTTTCTCATGTAGAGACATCCTAATATTGTTATAATTGTCAATTTCTGATTCATTATTTGTGTGTTTAACTTTCTTGTGTGCAGATTTTCTGCCATTGTTGAGCTTCGAGGTCGATTTTCTAACTCCGTTAACATTTAAGTACTCATTATTCTCATCGATATTAAAATTTTCCTTTTCTTGGTCCGCGTTGTTAACAAGATTAGTTCTTTCACGTAGAGATATCCTGTTGATGGTACAATTTTCCATTTCCGATTCATTATTTGTACGTTTACTATTATTGCTTATCCACTTTCTGATATTAGTAGTTGATTTTGATAACATATTCGAGCTATCGTTAACATCTCCATCGCTACTAGAACTTTCCATTTCGTGATCTCGGCCGTTATTATTCGTATGTATATGTGTAGGTACATCGTTAGTTCGATTCTTGGAAGTTGATTTAGGGATAAAATCATCATCATCGTCGATACTCGAACTGTCCGTTTCTCGATTCGAATTCTGACCAAAACCAATACTCCTTCGGAAATCGCCAAGGTTTGCATTTCCTCCCAATCTCCTGTACGTTTTCAAATTATTCTTCACGCCCCGCTGATAGCGTTTGTTGTTATTGCTCCAATCGGTTACATTGTAGCACAAACCGGTAGTATTATTAAGTCCGCTTCTCGAAGGCATCCTCCAACCCGCATCAGTACTGGGTTTCCTCAACACGTTGTAATCCGCGTAGCTGCCCATGCTATCGATCAAAGGCCCGTCTTGCAAACTGTTGAACAAATTCCGTTCGAAAATGTTCGCATTCTTGTCTATAGACGCCGGCTGATCGTTGTATCGGCTAAGCGACGTTTGCACTTCCATATTCTTCTGTTCGTGTAAACGATTAATGCAATCGTGTAAACTCAACCGAGATGGCGTCCTAGATTTAGTCGAAGTGCACGATTTGATGGATTTGGAAATATTCCGTTTTAAGAAGTTATTTATACCATTCAATGAAACTTCTTTATTCGAATTCCTCGAGTGGTTTGATCGAGGCCGATTCTCGAATATATCTTCGTTATTTCCGTCCGAATCGCTCGAGTCCTCTTCTAATTCTCCTAAATTAACATTATTATTCGATGCGCAAGCGGCATTCTTACGAATACTACCGCTTTCATCTTCTGTACTTGTAGATGCAATTGAAACCTGCTTAAGAAGCTTGCTTCTGTTATTCGCCTTATTAGAGCAAGATCTAATCGATGCTTCTGGTTTTTTAAATGTTTCTGTATGACTCGGGCTGTTAGTAACACCATTATTGTACGATCCATTGGCGATCGGACTGAATTCAGCGCTCGACACAGCTAATGGCCTCTTCCTATTAGGTAACGGAGTGCTGCTTATAACGTTACACTTGTTCTTCGGGTGCAATACTTTTTCGAGGAACGAACGACGCGGATATTTAATCTCGGGAGTGTTGAATAGTCCATGCCGATGTCTCTTTAAGCGCTGTGAAATGTTTTGGTTGAATTATTGTTAAACTTGCTGAAATTTACCTACGAATTAACGGGCGTACCTGGATGAGTCGCTTTCTGCCATAGTCGCTATGGGGCCTAAACATAAAAAACTAGAAAATCTGCGCGCTTATTATTGTCACAACTCGTAATATGTACAAGTAACATTTATAACAACTTAAAAATATAACGAAAAACTTCAAGAAACTGTTAGCTTTTAAGTTCTTTTAACGAACTTTTTGTTTGGCATTTAATTTAAGTAAGAAACGTCAACTGTCGCTTTGTTTGAAAACGACGTAATGTTAGTAACTTCAGTTGCACCAACTTGAAAATCCAAAGTTTTCTCGAAGATTTATTTATATTTAATTAGAATTCTTGTAGTTTACGGTAGATATTATCAATGTGATTACAGATATCATAATAACTTTCTATTATTGATATTTCGTAACGAAATAACATTTAGAATTTCAAAATTTTACAAATAATCATATAGTTAGAGACCCAAGTTTTAAATTTACCTGTTGCTTCAACTGTCAACAACGTCACGGTTAGCGACATACTTGTTCGAGCAACGCCGTTCGATTGTTACACTGTTGCCATTATTTAAAATACATCTCATACACCTATTACTAACATCAAAACTTTACTACGTAAAAAAACAGTAGTTCATAATTTCGAAACATATCGTAAACAAATCCACTAATCCATCACCGTAAGTCTAATTTTATTGCACTTTTACAACGTTTGTACATTTCGCAACGCCGTTGCACCAGTTCCGTTAGACGAACAGATACGATCAGATAACGGTGCGCCGAACGTCACAACTGTCAAATCAAAAAACTTTTTAATGTTTATATGAACTTTTTGCGGTCGGTTCGGTTCGAATTTCGCGACAAGCACCGCCGGCGACGAGACATGAACGGCACCGGCTCGACCCTGGAGCGCATCCAGAAGGAAATCCAGGAGAACATCCGGCGCGAGAAGGAGCTGCGACGGGCGGTCCCCAAAACCAGCGACGAGAGCGAAACGACAGGTAACGGTACAGCGAAATCGAAGCCCGACGGGCCGGCCAATTCGAACGGCTTCACCCGAAGGTTCGTGCCCAACCAGAACGCCAAAGGGCTGATGCAGAAGTTCTTCAAAGCTCGAGGAAAAGTGAGCTCTTCGGACTCCCCCGAGCCCCACAACGCCGGGTATTTCCCGCTGAGGTTTAGAGTGGAGAAGGGCAAATGCCTGCGGAACGGGTACGTGCCCGCCGAAGAGAAAATCGTGAGGGAAGTGATCGATTTCCAGATGCGCGAGACGGAGCTGCGGAACGAACGGATGAAGTCCCAGCCCGATCTCATGGCCGCCTTGGAATTGGAAGAGGCCCAATTGAACGGGGCCAACGGGGTGTTGAAATCGGCCAAATCCATGACGAATTTGTTCCAGAACGAGGATTGTTCCAAAACGAATTACTCGATGCCATCGAGATAGATTCGATTAGTTAGTAATTAATTATTATGATAAGTGAGTATAGTGTTGTTTAGTGTGTAAAATTATTAATTTTATTTTCGATTTTTAGATACTCCGTCCAATGAAGATACGTAGTGATTATATTAAATTATTTATTGTGAACCAAATATGTGCCTAAATCGTACTTAAGGACATAACATGTGATGGTTTATTTGAATTAGTCGAAGCGGAATCGAGCACAATTAAGGCTTAAAATTTTATACAAATGTTTCCATTTTGAGTGTTAAATATCACAAGCTTATTTGTAATAAATATTTTTTTTAAACGAGCGTTGAATTTTTTGCTTAGATTTCTAAGATTGTTTGTGAAATAAGCGAGATTTTGCCGGGATGACATCAATAAAATTGATAAGATTCTTTTTGAATATTCAAATGATCGCAGATTGAAGAAAAACACTTGTTTAAGAATGATAAATCGCTGATGAATTGATAACAAAAATTTATGAGACATTCTAATTAGTTATTTCCTCATTTTATCTCATATTTATTGATTTTTCTTGTACTGTATTGAATAAAACACTTGTAAAATTAGAGTGCGCGTATTTTTGTGATCAAATTGTTTAAATTTTGCAACAAAGTAATGATTAAAAATGGATTTTTGGAAGAATGTGCTGCCATCTATACGAGAGTAGCCTAACATGTAAGTTATAAATTCGACTCATAGAGGTCGCGAGTGTTCTCGAATTTTACAGAACCCTACTCGACGTTCATTTTGAATTATTTTGACTCAAAATGGAGGCTGAACGAGACAATTTTTTTCAGTGTACGTTATTTATCAAACTTATGTATTGTAGAGAAATGGGGTTTACGGAGATAATAATGGGAATAAAAGTTTTATTTACTCTGCATATAGAAATACAAAAAATTGACTTACCTTTGTAATTTACTGTATACAGGATGTAAATTAATTGAGTGTCGATACTTCAGGATGTGAATATTTGGATGATTTTAAGAAGAAAAGTTTATATTCAAAATATGTCCTAAAGCTCTTAGTGCTACAGGGTGCTACAGTATTAGAAAAAATAAACTTTTTTTATAACTTTCTTATTACTCTAGATATTTTTATGAATAAATATCTGGATCTCTAAATATTTTTTTCAATTAATTAACACCCTGTACATTGATTCAATAAAAACTATCCTACTTTTCTTTCTTGATAGATTTTTCACCATGTTCAATATTTTATTAATTTTTGTCCATTTTTTAAGAGTAGACAAGCCTTTTTTAAAAACACCTTTTTTACCCTTTTTTTTACTAATATTAATAACAGTTCATAGCTTTCCTGATTGCACATCAAATTCTATTTTTATAATAAAATTACATAAATTCTACAATACACTTTATTTTTTTTATAAAGCTTCTTTTATAAACCATTTAAAAAGCTCTATTAAAGGCGACTTTAGACTTTTCTAAATTACTATTAGGTCTCCAATTTTGTAGACTATAAAAGTATCTACAAACTGGTGCAATTTGTACCTACCTTATAGGTAATCTATTTCTCCATTGAATTTTTGTATAACCATGCGAAATAAAACCGGTTGGAAAATTCCTCCAAAACCTTGGAAAAACATCGCCCGGCGACTCATCCCAATTTTCCATAACTAAACGCGAAAATTAATCCTCTCTGCGGGTGTTCGCGTGCAGCGAGAGCGCCTCGACGAGCGCGCCAACTCCGCCGGAGTTTTTTCCCTTTTTCCAAAAAGAGGAAAATAAGAAAAAGCTACAAGAAACCATGACCTTACTTTACGATACGCTACGAGCGGATTCTCATTCATAATTAGAGCACTTTTTAGCGAGAGAGCGATTCATTCCCTCCTCGCGCGCGTGCATCGCCCGCCGACAGAGAGGCTCTAAATAAAAGATTCCCGGAGACGCGAAAAACGGGAGATGGAGGAGAAACTTGGTGTTGGAAATTTCATTAAAATAACATTTATTTATAAATCAAATTTATTATATCAGTACATTCTTTAGATATACTTTTTTTTGTGACTCCGATGACTCTGATATTCTCTCCAATTTAACCTGTAAAAAAAATTAAAATTGTTAGTAATGAAGTTAGTAATACAACAACTTTTAAATTGGTCGTTTTTTGAGAAGATTAATGTGGATAGTAAATAGGTACATATACATTTTATGATTCTTATAAATATATTTATTGTTCTAATAAATTTCCGATTTCGAAGATTTTGTTCTCGAATTAATCTCAGAGTAGAATAGAGGAAAGTAGAGTAGAATAGAAGAAACCAGAGCAAAGTAGAGTAGAATAGAAGAATCCAGAGCAAATCAGAGTATAGTTAGAGCAAAGAAAAATAGAATAGAGGAAAGTAGAGTAGAATAGAAGAAACCAAAGCAAAGCAGAGTATAGTTAGAGCAAAGCAAAGTAGAATAGAGTAAAGTAAAATGGAGTTGAATCAAAATTTCCAAATTGAAATAACGCAACGTTGCCACGTCGTAATTTTTACACCAAACACCTACGTATTTCCGCATATGAATATTCTCTATTTAACCTGTGAAACAAAAAAATTAAAATTGTTAGTAATGAAGTTAGTAATACAACAACTTTAAAATCGGTAATTTTTTGAGAAGATTAATGTGGATATAGTAAATATGTACAAACATTTTATGATTCTTATATACACATATTTATTGTTCTAATAAATTTCTGATTTCGAAGATTTTGTTCTCGAATCATTCTCAATTTCTATAACAATTTGTATTACATTATTATACAACAATGTGTGTATATCATTTTACTATATAAAATAGTTCTTTTTATACAGAAAATTGTCTAAAAGTAGAGTGTAAAAGCGAGTATATTAAATGAAAAATAAATAACTCGTGAAATTCAAGCATATATAATAAGCACCATATAAGAAATAATCCGGTAGCAGAGTTCCCCTCCCCCCTACCCCCCCCCTCCCCATTAAAACAACCCGTCGATTTTCACCTAACATCAACTTCAAAGTAATACGAAACCCCGCGCAGCGAGTCGGTTATAGAACAACAAGAGAGCGAGAGCTGCATCCGAACGCGAGCCCGCGGAGTCGCTAATTAATCATTTCTCGGGTATTGAGAGCGTTTTCCTGTCGTTCGGGGGCCCCCGTTATTTATCACCCGGAGACAAGCAACCGGGCGCGGGGGGCGCGCGCGCGGGGCGCTCTCTCACCGGCGAAGGGGAGTCGCGCGTCCCCGGTCCAGGGTAATTACACCGGAGGATGCGGAGACCACGCCCGGACCAATGGCGCGCCGCCGGCGCCCACCCTCGTCGCCCCGTTATCGATTCCGGGGGGCGCGCAGGCGCCCCTGCCGCCCCGGCCGGACTCTGGTCAACCGCGGGATGCTATCGGGGGAGGCTCTCGGGGGTTGATCTCTCTGCATTCTACACCGCTATGGCCGATGTTGTGCAGCTCTTTATATCTACATCGATTCATTTCGCGGTTTTTTTTTCTAGCAAATCCGGAGCAAAGCAGAATATAGTTAGAGCAAAGAAAAGTTGAATATTATAGAGGAAAGTAGAGTAAAATAGAAGAAACCAGAGCAAAGCAAAGTAGAATAGAAGAAACCAGAGCAAAGCAGAGTATAGTTGGAGCAAAGCAAAGTAGAATAGAGGAAAATAGAGTAGAATAGAAGAAACCAGAGCAAAGCAGAGTATAATTGGAGCAAAACAAAGTAAAATAGAGGAACGTAGAGTAGGACTCTGGTCAGCCGGGGGATGCTCTCGGGGGTTGATCTCAGGGGTTGATCTCTCTGCATTCTACACCACTATGGCCGATGTTGTTGCACTTTTTCACTCTTTATATCTATACTTGACGCGTTTGGAAGACGGAGTAATAAACACATTAATCAGCCGAAGTCCACCCGGGGTGTAAACGAGTCGCCGATATCACTCACTCCCCATTGGCCGGCCTAAAAGTTGATACTCTGTGAATGGTTTTGAGTAATTGTAGGCGATGTGCGAAATTTCTATCGATCGAATCGATCATTGTACAGGGTTTTGCCGTACAGGGGTAGGGATATTTTGGAACCGCCTGACATTTTTATTACTCCGTCTTCCAAACGCGCCAAGTATACATCGATTCATTTCGCGTTTTTTTTTTCTAGCTGTAGCAACAACACGACCATTGTTTAGGTAAATTTTTTACCGGGCGCGGGTCGAGGCCAGGTAGACAGACGGTTTCGGCATCAGTAGTAATATGTAACAATTTTTGTATTGATTCGAATTTGCATACAATTTACAATTCGGGTCCCCGCCAGCTGTGTACCTGGGCTGGTGAAAAAAAAGGGTTATACGATTTGAATGAAGTACCTACATACGAATTTGAATTACAGATGTTCGGAGATATATATACAGGGCGTTGGGACGCCGTCAGGCTTCGGTCACAGTCTAAGCGGAGGGAATTATGCACGCGTGATGCGAGTATATAATTCGGGCGCGGAATTTGCATATGGCGGAGGCAACAGCTCTAACTCCGCTCTCGGGGATGCGGTTTTAACCCCGTAGAGGACTTTTATCAAATGCAGGAGCGGACTGTCAATTCGGGTTGTGCTCGAATTAGCATTGCTCGAACGTGGCTTATGTTAGATAACCGTATTTGTATTAACCCGGATCTTCTGCGTTATAAACTTCGTTTATTTTAATATCTTCTGATGGTTGCAAGAGTTATACACTTTGTGTATTATTTGTATGTTTTGTGTACGCTCTGGAGTTGTTCGAATTGAAATTGTGTATACAATTTTCTGTATGAATTGTAATGAAATTTATTTATAAATAAAATTTATTATAACAGTATAGATACATGCTTTAGATATACATTTTTTTTGACTCCGATGACTCTGATATTGTCTCCAATTTAACCTGTAAAAAAAAATTAAAATTGTTAGTAATGAAGTTAGTAATACAACAACTTTTAAATTGGTCGTTTTTTGAGAAGATTAATGTGGATAGTAAATAGGTACATACATTTTATGATTCTTATAAATATATTTATTGTTCTAAAAAATTTCTGATTTCGAAGATTTTGTTCTCGAATTATTCTCAGAGTAGAATAGAGGAAAGTAGAGTAGAATAGAAGAAACCAGAGCAAAGCAGAGTAGAATAGAGGAAAGTAGAGTAGAATTAAAGAAACCAGAGTAAAGCAGAGTATAATTGTGGAGAAAAGTAAAGTAGAATAGAGGAAAGTAAAATAGGGTAAAGTATTGTAATGAAACTTTCACTTTTGAAGAGTTAAAAGAAAGAAAAGTATTTTCATAAATGAAATGTGCTTTGGTGATGGCTTTAACGAAAAAAAGAGTAATTTCGAATAAGATTTTGAAACAAATTAAGTTAA